AAAAAATCCTGCTACTTCTGTAGTTCTGGAATGAAGTACAGCTGATAACCAGCATAGGCTCTTGCATTGCTGAGGGAAATAATAGGTGGAGGCAAAATTGGGCTGATTTACCAGTTGCTATAGTATTCATAGTGCAACTAGAAGAAAAAGATCAGGCTCATGGGTGAGTATATTTGTTGAAGTTCTAATGTATTTTCGAGTACATTTAAAATCTTGCTATGGACAGAATGAATCCAGTATCTCCAATATAAAATACAAAATTGCTCAAAGAGCTGTTGTATTTGTATCTGTTTGGTCATCTAATTTGGTGATGACCCATTTGATTTCATGACTTGAATGAACAAACAAATTAAGAGTTGGAATTAGGCTAAAGATAAAAAGCATGAGACAGAGATTTTTATGTAAAGAGGGTAAGAATTATCTTTATAGTTATAATAGGTAATGTTAGAATAATAAATGACAGTATAATAGAATAAGTTAATTACTTCTATTTGGAGCTAACTGATGTTTTGGTTCCTAAAGCCAACAAATTACTTCTATTCTTTAGGAAAGCCATATTATTTTACATGGAGACATGAGTTAACAGTTCTTGTATCTTTTCTCAGTAAATAAGGAGTTTTTAGCTTCTATTGTTAGATTTACAATCTAATGTTATGTTTAAAGTATATTTATAGTATATGGCCCTAAAATAATTTTTGGATTAACTGATGGGGGGACACATAAAGATATTTTATTGTGAGAAGGATGAAATATTGTTAATGTGATATGTAAAATTTCCATCTTGTGTTATAATTGTATGTAGTGTGTATAATTCTGTAATAAACATGTTAAGTCCTGTAAGAATAATTTCGAGGTTAGAATGTAGATCAAGGATCAGGCTTCCAAAATTGTGGAGTTGCATATTAGTCCTAAAACATCCAAGCAAGCTGACAGCTGATTAGTTGAGCCTTTGTTTAGCAGACAAAACTCTAGCTTGGAGGGAACAAGATTCTGGGACTTCTTGAGTAGTCATGATACCTCTGGACCATAGTAACAGCCAGTGTGAAGCTCAGGGACAGAATCCTTCCTACAACACACAGCCGTAGAAGACGATGATGAGGGCTGACCAGAGAGCCAACTCTGCATAGGCAGTGACTGACCATGAACTCACGTTAAGGTCAGGTCTCATCTTTCCTGCTGAGTGTTCTTATAATGACTCTCACTTGTTGTGCTCCATAATTCTAGGTAAGCTGGGAGCAGTCTAGCTGAGTAGTTAAGAGCACAGGGCCTAGCTACACTCTCTGAATCTGGATACTAGAGCTTTGCACTATGATCTAGTTTCACAGAATCTACCTCATAGCTAAATTAAATGCCAAATATCTGGTACTCAGAGACATTTTATAATTATGTCATTGTAAGTTGTATTGAGGTGAAAATACTCAGCCATTCATAGGATTATGAAGAGCTATATTTGGGCTTGAACATCATAAATATTCTGGATTCAGACAAGAATGTAACTATATTTCCAAGGAGATAGACAACTGAAATTTTCTCCTATATTCAGTTGAACATGGAGCAGATTATTTAGAGCAATCACAGGTGTAACAAGTCACAGGTGTCTATTAAGTTTAATCTTCCCAGTCTCTTCCTTCTTTTCAATAATCAAATCCTCATTTTTAAATATATACTTATTTTTTAGTTGTAGGTGGATACAATACTTTATTATTTTTATGTGGTGCTGAGGATTGAACCCAGGGCTTAGCATATGCTAGGCAATCACTCTACTGCTGAGCCACAACCCCAGGCCCCAAATCCTCATTTTTATAGAGAATCCACTCTGTTAACTGGGCACAAGATTCGTGCCTAATCAATTACGTGACTGAATCAGAGGGATCATAATTCCTAAACTGAATCCGCTGGGGTCCTTCCCTAGTCTTATCCTGCCAAAGCTTATTGAGGCACATCAACTTTTTACTTCAGTTGTTGCTAAACTCCTGGGACTGAGTTTGGTTCAGAAACCATTAAGCAAGCGTGTGGTGACAGTTCATTTTGAAAATTAAGTCAAGCCTTGAGGGGCAAATTAGAGAAGGAAAGTAGACACAGAGCCCTAGTGATGTGGTGCTGGGTCCCTTCTCCTACTAGCTAAGTCCCTGGAGTCATTTGCCTCCCTGGACTTCATTGTTGTGTTAGCCTGCTTTGGGTTCTGTTCCTGCCATTAACTAAGACCTAACTAATAAAAAAATGAAAATAATGAGCATTAGAATTCACAGGTGCTGCTAAGGGAGATGGAAATAAGGTGTACCACGGAAAAAAAGGACAAAAGCAACCCCAAAGAAGGGGTTATATTGAAAAAACAGCAAAGGTGATGACTTTCATTTAGCACAGAGATTATGTGATAGAAAAAAAAAAAAAGTTTGCTTTTTGCAATGCTGGGAGTTGAATCCAGTGTCTTGCACATGTAAAGCAGGGAATCTACCAAGACATACCACCAGCAATAAAGTATGTTTGAATATGCTTTCCAGTTGATTCTGTTATACACTAGTGTTTGAAAACCTTGTTCTAATCGATGTTTTAATACATAACACACCTGTGCTTCCTTACCATCACTTTTCAAAAAAAAAAAAACACGATAAATTTATGTCAACAATGCTAATCTCACAGGTGCATAGAAAGTAAACAAGGGATTACCTTCACTGACAAAAAAAAAAAAATAGACTATTTTTAAGATACAGGTTATAGTTCTGAGATTGGGACATGTAGCTAATAAAAGATACTGATTGGGCCAACAGTTTTTAAAAATTCAAGAGAAAACAGTGACTTCAATTCTTCAATTTGCTGTTCCCCAAAAGGAAATTTGCCTGAGACTTTTATTTAAAGACAAATGTTTTTTACAATCCACGAATCTCTTCTTGGAGCATACATTTCCATCCCCTGCCACCAGCCTTCTCCCTCATTCCTAACATATTTTAGGAACTCAAAGCATTTTCATGGTTTAAGCAAAATTATCAGACTTAATCTGAAGCTTACTCTTTACTCAGAAAAACTCCTATGGATTGTTGCTTTCTAAGTTATTAGTACCTCTTTTAAAAATCCTTTACTTTTCATACACCTGTAAGTTTAGAAGTGTTGATGTAAATTTCACATGGTTTAATTGGAGCTTAATTTTAAAATTTAAGAACACAGGTAGTTAAAACTTACAGTAGTTACATGCTATTATATGTACCTATGTAAATATGAATATTGCCTTGTAATTTAAGACTATCTTTTTAAGGTATTATTTGATATTAAAGATCTGAATATAAAGTTACTTTATAAATTGCTTTTCTTTAACTCTTCTAGGACAAAAATCTCAATTCTCCATCATTTCAGCAGTATTCTATAAAATTCTGATAAGTACTGAGTTAAGTTTTTATATCCAGTATCCATGGGTCACTGACTCTATTTCTGGATTTAAAAATGTAAGTTTATTTTCACTTTGGCTCTGGTTAGAATATATTGGCAATTGTACTCATATCAATTGTGTAAAAAACTATATGCTGACACAATACTTTTTGGGGGCTGGGGTTGTGGCTCAGAGGTAGAGAGCTTGCCTAGGATGCACGAAGCACTGGGTTTGATCATCAGCACCACATAAATTAAAAAAAATAAATATATTGTGTCCACCTATAACTAAAAAATAAATATTAAAAAAGATTATTTTGAAGGAATGAATGGGTTATTGATCTGTAAGGAACATAGCTAGAGGTAAGGCCACACATTCAGAGGCACTCACATTTTTCCTACAAGTTTCTAATCCTTTGTCTAACATAAAAATCAAGTTAGACATAAGGAGTGGGGAATAGGCTGAAGTTCTAAAGCTAGCATTTAATAGACTACCACACATTTGAAATGGGTCTGTGACCACTGCTACCAAATCTATAGAAGGCAATCAGCTAGATATTTGAGTACTCTCCCTCGACCCCAATATTAAACTGGTTAACACACCAACATGTTTTATATATTTACAATCTGAACTAAACTAAATCAAACTTCCTACTGAGTGTATCCCAGGACTTGTACTATCTTTACCCAAAGAGCTAAATATTACTATCTATTTCTTTTGACTCTACAAATATACTGTTAGTACAAAAACGGGGGAAAATAATTTTTTCTTCATAGTGAATGAATAACAAAAGCCTGTTGGCTCCAAGATGTATTCCTGTTTTGAAAATTGTTGGATGATCTGAAATTAGTAAATGTAAAATTCACAGTTGCCTTTGAATTCTTTCGGGTTCCCATAAAAGGGAGTAAACTGGCCTGAATAGAAGCTTATTTATTAAGAACAAAGATCATACAGTGGACTTTACATTTGGTTTCACATCTCTTAGGGCAGTCTGTAACCCATCTATATGTGCTGTTATTTGCACTACTTGAGCACCGAATTGCTGGGCAGATTGGGATAGATTACCCAATCATCTAACATAGATCAGGCAGCAGTGAAAGCATACTGGAAAAGCCCTGGAAATTAGAGTCTGGGTTCTAGGCAAATATCCTTTGCTGATTTACCATGGCCTAGGGATACTTCCTAAATTTCTCCAACCTGCTTTCTCCAGAGTAAAAGATGAATAACTATTCTGCATATGTAACATAATTATTGAAGGGTTCAAATGAAAAAGGGAAAATCAGCTTAGCAAAGAAATCTTAGGAAAAAAAGAATGAGATTAAATTCAAGGGCTCTGAATCCCTTTTAATCTTTTCGTTCCTCATTCATAAATGAGGGATTTGGCCCCAAAGTAGAATTAGAAAAGCTAAGTCATTTTTTAAAAACATCATAATATTACTGTACTGAAAACAGTTCAGTCACAGTATCAATACTGATTATTCCACAGGCATAAGGAGAGAGAATGAACACAAAAAACTTTTCTAAGGCATGAATAATAAGATAAAAATCATTTTAAAAATTCAGATATTAATGAAATAAGATGAAATCAAAGCTGGCATAGATTTATAAAACTGGTAAAAATACAAGAGTAGACTTTAAATAGTTTTAATGAATCCACTTCCTTTATTGCAGTAACCTCTTTACAAAGCAGCACTGCAATACTCAAGGTTAAAACATTAGAAAAGCATTTGTGTGACAGTTATAGTACAGTGTTATCAAAATATTACATTTTTAAACTTAGTAGATAATCATCCACCAGAGCTCAAATCTTTAAATTATTTATTTCCATAGTCTTAAAAAACATGTAATGTCAGAAAGCAATATAAAAAGGTTGTAAAAGGAAATCTAAAATACAAAGGAAACAATGTAACAAATAAATATTTGATTTTAATTAACTGTTAATAAATCAGCTTAACACCAACATTCTCTCTAAACCCATTGCATTCTTACCTATGGGAATAATTAATTCCAATGCCCCTGTGTAATTATCACCAATGATTAGACTAAAAAAAAATTTTGGCATTCAAATAATCAAAATCAGCATAAATAAAGTAAAACAGTGTCAACACTAGTGAGCATCTCAAGAATTGCTAAAAAAATTTTTGAGCACTACAATAATTTTTGAAAGTTTTTGACCTGGTGTCTAGTGTTAAGTGAAAGTAATGATTTTTTTTTTTTAAGTGAAAAGCTTCTTACATTATTTCACAGACAATATTACCCTCCCCACATTATGCATATTTAGATATATTTTATGTACTTTATACACACATGTATGATGTATGACATTTGGTTCCTGTAGTACAGAGCACAATGTTGTTTTCCTGAATGGGAAAAACAAAAACAAAACAAAACAAAACAAAATAAGTGTACCTGTGCATATTTCAAATTAGCAGCACTCAGGCCATGCCCTATTATCCATTTAAAAAGTTCACACATGATATTATTTACTGAACAATGTGACATTTCTACTGTTTCCCCCCAACACTGCAAAACCTGCAATAAATTAAACAATGCTGGGAGTTATAATGTAGGAAATAATTTTTAGAAAATTGATTACTTCCTTTTCTTAATATTCTGAGTTTAAATTATCAGAGTTCCAATTTTTATTAATTCAGTTCATACTGATGCAGCAAAAATACTGCAGCACTGAAAATAATTTTATAGATTTCTAACAAGATTCACAAGAACCTGCATAAATTCCCCACCACTGAAACTCAACAATGAACCCACTGAAAAGTACTTTAGATGAAATGTTCACTATTTTCTAACTGGATGATAGTTGTGTGAAGTTACACTATGCCCTTCAAATGATCAGCTTTGTTCTCTATGAAACCTGTAATCTGTCAATTTGATTTTGAACATGTTTACTAAAACCAAAAAAGTTTAATACAATGAATCTTGATCACTTTAAAATGCAAAACACCAGCAATAGAAATTTCATTACATATACACATATGTATCTGTGTATGCATATGCATATACATACACACATACAGATATGTAGACATAAATCCCTTGAAATGTTTTTAGGAAATCCTTCCTTGAATAAAAAAACAAAAACAAAAATAAAAAACCTTCACATTAATAACTATTTATAAAGCTTTTAGTAACAGTACATACGCACTGTCAACTTGTACTAGTAGACTATGATGTCAAGAGACATTTCAAACGCACAAACTGGCAGTTTTTCTTAACACAAAAGTTTTAAAGTATTAAGAATGGATTAAATTTTAATGTTCAGAATAATCTGTTCAAACCTGAGTGTATTAAGACTAAGTGTACTTGACAAATGAATTAAGCCTAAAAACATTTCACTAATAAACCAGTGGTCCATTTAACCATTTGGTGAAACATTATTTTAATGGATTTATAAAGGATGATACAGTATAGTAAAATTCCATAGTGTTTATTGAAATATTCTATTAAATGACATTGTTTTGACTAAATTTCCTCCAGAAAAATCTGTAAGCATTTCTTAAAAGTCCCTCAGATTTGAGAGAAATTTTAAATTAGGACAGATCTCTCTTAAATACAAATGATCTTGAGGATTTTTATTTAAAGAATAACATGTGAATTTTCATCATGGTATATAGAAGTACTGGGTAAATCTTCAACCTTTTAAGGTTAAAAAAACACAAACAGTCAATTGGGAATTAAAGAAGGCATTTTGAGCCTTTTCCCCTAGCTCTACATTTATATATATTCTCATAAATCTAACATTGAGGTTTACTTTTTGGTTATTGACCCCACTTTTTTCCCATTTTTCATTAGCCTGCCCTAATTCTCACATTTAATATCTAACAGATACTTTTACAAAAGTAATAGAAAACATACAGTACTCAACATTAATTGGTCAATGGAAGATGAAAAGCAGTGTCCATTTTGTTTTACGGTGAGACTAGAAATAAAATAATATCCAAAGGCAAGGTTTGACATTCTATAAATTTATAAAAGAGGATATATATGGATGAAATTTGGTTAATTTCAGAAGGCACCTCAAGGCTAAAGGCTTTTTGTAACTCCTTTCATCAATCAAAAAATAACACACTTTTATTGCTATTCAAGTAGCAAGGGAAAACTTTACTTTCATATTAACTTCAGTCCAACAAGAATAATCATTAAGATTGAGATACAGAATTGACTACAACTGAAGTCTCCATACACTTATCACTGGAGCAACTTTCCTGTGTGCTTTCAAATTAATGAAATAGTGAAAGAAAAGTCACAGTTTGCCATTGTGATGTTAATGTGTCATTGAAGATTTCAGTCACTTCACTAGGCACTGAAGTACCATTCTAGGAGCAGTCCATTGTGTAGAACACTTAAGAATAGAAGGTAAGGACACTCTGATGATTCCCACGAACTAGGAGGATTGGTGGGAGGTCCTTCGACAGAGCTTCTAACCATGCCATGTAGAGGGCACTAGACACAGCACCTTTACGAGCAACTGGGAGACTCCTGGGATCAAAAAGAAAGAGGATGTTGAGTGATGCTTTTAAATTGAGGAGAAAATGTAACAAATATTATAAATTAACAATACTACAGTAACTAGAGCTGGGTGTGATGGTGCACACCTGTAATCTCAGTGACTATGAAGAATAGGCAAAAAAAATGGCAAGTTTGAGGCCAGTCTTAGCAATTAAGCGACTTAGGGAGAACCTGTCTCAAAATAAAAACTAAAAAGGGCTGAGAAGTGTGGCTTAGGGGTTAAGTCCCCCTGGATTCAATTCCCAGTACCAAAAACAACAACAACAAAAATAGTAACTAGAAATTACTATAATTATAGAATAATTCTGAGTACAGGGAAATTCTGTACAGGGAATATCAACTACAATGTTTTCATGTCACTATTCTCATGTTTTCAGGTTTCAACAAAAGATTTTAAAATATCTATTCATAAGGATAGGGAATAATGATTTGCAGAAACAACAACTACTACTACTACTACTACTACTACTACTACTACTACTACTACTACTACTACATATAAACTGTCTCTGAATCTCAAATTTACCCCTTTTTTAAAAATAAGGATAACATTATTTTAGGAGAAATAGATGTTTCTATCAGAATTTAGAAAATGGAAGTTACTTATAGATAAAATTTAAACATCATTAATGCTACATATTTTTAACACGAGTTTTAATTTGTATTTATAGACTATATAGTAATGACCAGTTGACTTGTAAGTTTTTCTCTAAATTTCTGTTTTAGCATCCTCCAATATAGTATTTGATCATCATCATCAAAACCCAAACTTAATGGAATAATAAGTGTTACTTATTAATCAGACTAACATTCCTTTGGTACTACTTCATTTCATTTGGCATGATTTTTCCTTATGTCTACCCTCCCAGGTTCCAAGACTGAGAAAATTCGGGTTCATTGTGATATCTCACTAACCTATTGCAGCAGAGATATCAAAGTAAGCATTAGCAGCTCTATTCAATGCAAAACAATGTGTCCATATGTAAAGTTTGTGTGTGAGATTTGTGGGTTTGGACAGGAACCACTATTCCAATTTAATCCTTAAAACAGTATGAAGTTATTTTCACAAGAAAGCTGTCTAGGTTCAAATTTTAGTGTGGGGCCATTCTATCCCAACATGTGTAATGGCTAGGCTATAATGTTTTCAAAACTAAAGAATTTTGAAAGAAAAAATTCCAGTTCTTCATGGTAGCACACAGGTGTAATCCCAGTGACTCAGAGGCTGACACAGGGGGGATCATAAATTTAAAGCCAGCCTCAGCAATGGTGAGGAGCTAAGTAAGTCAGTGAGACCCTGTCTCTATATAAAATATAAAAATAAAGGTGGGGATATGGCTCAGTGGTTGAGTGCCCCCGAGTTCAATTCCTGATATCCCCTGCCCCCCCCAAAAAAATCCAGACTAGCTTATTATGATAAAGAATTACTTAAGATTTACATAAACTTAAATAAGGTTTTTGTCTTTTCTCCGAACTTAAATGATTTCTCAATTAAAACAAAGTATATTTAAAAGTTTGTTTTTCCTTTGTATAACTAGTATGTCTTGACAGAGCACTAAAAGTGCTTTTAATAGAAATTAATCAAATACATTATCATAAAATGAACAGCTAAGGAAATCTTAATACAAATATTACTTACATGACAATAATGTTAGCTGTGCTTGAATGTTCCTTTAATAGTTCATTTAACCTGATCTGCCGGTATGTCTGAAATAAAACAGGACAATCTAGCATAGTTTATAAAGTAATAAGAAAACAAAAACAAACCAAAGTGAACCATGGAGTGATAAAAATTTCTTTTCCCTGTTTAGAAACAAAATTGATGCCTCCCACTATTCACACATAAATCTACTTAGATTTAATTTACACAACTGGTTTATCTCATATCAAAATGTAGGCCTTTATGTTTTAAGCATTTTTTTTAATTCACATGCAAAATTAATGAAGGAAAACAGAAGAGAAAGAATACCTTGGTCTTATAAAGCTCAAGCTCATTGTCTGTTATTCGCCATGGTTCATCTTCTTTCATTTTATCTGCAATATCTTGTTCTTTATCATCTTCATGAAGTCTGTATGGCTCAATCATTTCATCAAAAGCTACAATGCTTAAGAGAAAAGAATTTTAAATTACCAGAAAAATCTTAAACAGTAAATTATAACTTGTGAAGTTGGTGTTTATTTTTATGCTTCCCTCCATACCAACTATATTGATAGATAATTTATTTAGAAAATAGTTTTTGTCTCTAAAACTACACTGACAATAATAAAACTGCAGCTAAAGCTAATCTTTTGTCCCTGTGCCCGTGCTGCAACCTAAAATTCTACCACAGTAGCTGAAATGATTGTTTTGATTTAGAAGACAAATTGTTTTACTACTCTGCTCAAAACACCAAGGCTTTCCCAAGTACCAATGAATACAAGTAGTGTTAGAAAATATAGTAGAACATTCTGAAGGGAGGAAAGGGTAGATAGTAAAAATTTAAGAATTTCTAGATCCAATGATACTTAGTAGGGCAAAAGACAGTGAAAGACTATGAATGACATTTTAATAACTCATGAATATAAAAAATACTTTTCAGTATCAAATCTGGTGTATATTATTCTGTAAGAGGAAGCAATCTCTCCCTGATTAAAATCTATTTAAAATGAAATCTTTATACCAGCTTCATCATTTATTCAACATTTATCTAAGAATAATCTGGTGAAATAAACACAATCCTTATAACAACCTCTCTATATATCATTTCTAGGCAGAATATCCCAAGAATAGAAATTTTCTGTGCTAGAATTTTGAATCAACTATTATAAGCAAATCGTTAGATTCTTGTATTTAGCAAAAATATTAAACAGTGAAAACTAACAGGTATGAAGAGTGGGCACAAAATTGTTAAATGTGGGCAGGAAAAATGGAAATTTAAAGAACCACCTGGAATTTCTACGGCACTAACAATTTTCAGAAAGCATGTAAAGCAGTAATTGAAATCCTCTCTGAAAACTGAAAATTTTAAGATGTTACTTCAACATCTACTCTTGGCAAGCCAACTACCAGTTTGCTTTACATATAACTAACAGCAGGGAAAAATACTCAAATGTATCAATTACACAAATAATTCAAGTTGAATTATTTGTGTAGTTGATACATAAAAAGATTGGGTGTTTGTACAGATTAATTTATCCAATAACTTACTTTTCTTTCTTTGGTTTGGTATTGATATCACCTAGGACCATGATATCGGAGAAGTCTATTCGGAACTTGCTGAGCAAAGTAGCCATCCTAGAACAAAAATGAATAGCATTCAGATATGTTAAGGATGTATATGTACTTTTAGTCTACATAGGGCTGAATTTATATTTGAACAGTATGACTTATAGAAGTTTTTCCGGTGGTTTTAAAAAAAAAAAAAAAAAAAAAAAAAAAAAAAAAAACAACGACAACAACACAACAACAAAAACTCATCTAGCTGGGTGCAATAGCACACACCTAATAATCCCAATGGCTTGGAAGGCTGAGGCAGGATGATCGCTAGTTTGAGAGCAGCCTCAGCAACTAAGCGAGATCTTGTCTCAAAAAATAAAAATAGCAGGGATGTGGCTCAGTGGTTAAGCACTCTTGGGTTCACTCTCTAGTATCGCTCCCCAAATCTGAATTAATTCATATTATTCACCCCCCAAAAAAGATATCTAAATTACCTGAGTAGAGCCTACTGTTGTTATTTTAAAAAAAAACTTTCTCTTATTCTCTTTTTAGGACCTAAATATTAGGTGGACAGAGAAAAACATTAATAATGAAATCTGAATGGCAACTATTTTTTAAATGGTTAATTTTAGTTTAATTATATCAGAGTATGTAGATTTAAGTAAAAAGTAGTGAACAGTTTAACAAGATCTTATGTCTAATAAAATAACAGTTCTAAAAATTAGGTTGAGATATTAGAAAACTGATGAGCTACAGGTTTAAGTAATAAATTCATTAACAGCATTTCTTGCATAATTCACCGTTCGAAATAAAGAAATACCTCACTGGATTTTGGTATTTCCTAAGTGCCTACTATTATACTATGTGCTAAATATTATAGGATCCACAAAACTCAAATTTAAGAAAATAAATACAAGCTGGAAAGTGATAAGCAGTATCAAGTGTACAGTGATTCAGGAAGAAAGCATAATAAGTTCCTACATTCTGAAGAACTGAACTGGGTTTTGAAGAATGGAGTAGTAAACAGAGAAGGGTAGTGGAAACAAGTGAAGAGCTATTTATAGTAGAGAAGTGACAGTAAGCAAAGCAGTAAAAGCTTGAAATCACAAATATGTCTGGCAAATGTGCAAGTGTACATCAAAGTACAGGGCCTATATGGAGGAATGGGAGGTAAGGACAAAAAAGAAACAATGGGCTGATCTCAAGGGCCTTGAATACCATGTTAAGATAATAATATATACTATGTTAGTTTATGGAAAAATTGTTAAAATATATTGGGTAGAGGAATCAGATGGTCAAAATTTTGCTTTCTACATAAACCTGTATGCTATGTGTGCAAAATATAGGAGAAAGGTTAACACAAAGGTACTAGAGTGCAGGAGAGAAGCAGTGAAACCAGAACCAGAACTATGGCAGTGCAGACAGAAGCAAATGAGTGATACTGGCAATCTGCATTTATTGTCTAGAAGTCTACAAAATATAACCCATATAGGAATAAGTAAATTTTGTGTACTTGTAACCCTGATTAAAAGAAAAAATAAGCTATTTAACACCTTAATGTTGCAACTATTTAATAAAGACCTTCTAAAATGCCAATTTGTTAAAAAATACCACATCTAAGTAAAATTAAGCGTTTATAACTTAAATATGAAGGTCAAATTAAAGAGAATGAAATTTTAAATACTAGATTTTTAGGGACTGGGGATGTGGCTCAAGGGGTAGCGCGCTCGCCTGGCATGCGTGCGGCCCGGCCGGGGTTCGATCTTCAGCACCACATACAAAAAAAACAAAGATGTTGTGTCCGCGAAAACTACTAGATTTTTAGCTTCAGTATAACAGCAATATTATGGATATGTTCTGGAATGTCTAATTTTTTATCCTATCAACTCTATCCTTATCAATTGTGGTAATGAGGTACTGTTAGAATAATTTCTTTTAATTTAAAATAAACTTACGCTCTCCGGTCATGGTCTATTCTGTTTATTTTTCCACCAATGAATACTCTGATCTTACAGTCTTTCCACTTTTTCTTGGTTGTCAGAAGATAAGGTATCAATAAGGTCAAACCTGAATTATAAAAAATAACATCACTTACTAAATGCTAATTTCTCAAAAACTTGTTAATACAACTTATTTTCTAAAGGGATTTTTATTCTCTTTTGAGTTGTATTTACTACCACTCAAAAATACTTCCTCTGTCCTTCTTTGATAATTCAATCAAAAAGCCATTAGGGAGGTCTCAGCAAGAAAGGAGGCCCAGCACTCATAGCTCTTTGAGTAAGGCAATCCAATGGGACATTGGCTTGGCAGTCAGAAAAGTGGTCACATTCAGCAGGACTGAGGAATGAATATATTCATTAACCCTAATAGGACTCAGGTTTCATACAGAAATGAGAAATAAAGGATATGCTGGATTGGAGTTGGTTTTCAATCTCTACTTATACATACACAAATAAATACAAAAAAACATATATACTTCCAGCTCTTTCCACTGAGAGGGCCTGGGAGCAGTGACACCCTCACAGCCACAGGTATCTAATGCCCTTATTTTTTCTAAATACTATTTTCCACTCCAAGAAACCAGAGATCCTTGGAGGTCCCATCTGTGGCTAGTATAGGGAATGTACAAAACTATAAAATTGAACCTGGAACATCATCTTATATCAGAAAGTGACTCCATGAATGCTGGGGCAGAACAAATGGCACAGAAATTAGTCTAAGAGAGCTCCTGCTGGCTATGAAAATAATAAATTATATCCCATTTAATAAAATAAGAAATCAATTAACCCACATTGATAGAAATAAAAAAAGCTCATCCTTCAAGTAAAATGCCAACTAATAAACAAGGAAGAAATATGTAATTGGAAAATCGTCATTTGGCAATCACAACAAAAATAGCAAAAAAAAAAAAAGAGAAAAATACGTGATAGCTAAAAATACTGATAAAGGGGACACAGTCTCAGAATAACCCTCTAATATCTGCAATTATAAAGTGAGGGGCAATTTTCCAGTGGATAAACCTAGTGGGAAACACTTTACTCAATGGTCAAAGTTCATTGCACCAGTGATGGGATAAATCAGTATCATGAGATGTAGTCAGAAGAACAATGGAGCAAGAAGAACAGAGTATCAAATCTGTGATATTTCTGCCAACATATAACTTCATACTAATTTTGAGGAAATATCAAATAGCATTCCAAACTGAATGGCATTATACAAAATGGCCTAATATAAAATAAATGTTAAGGTCATGAGGCTCAAGGAGGTACTGAGCACTTCTATAATGAAGAGACAAGACAACTAAGCCTGATTCTGAAATTAATCCTTTTGTTGTGTGAGAATGTTGGCAAAACTTGAGTGGGTGAAAAGTACATGCCATTTCTTGGTACTATCTTCTATCTTCAGTAAATTTTAAACGTTTAAAAAATATATTAATGATCTTACCTCCATCATCGAAAAGCCACCAGACATCAATAGTATTCTTTCCTTGTTTTTTCTGAAATTGTGTACTAGCTTCAAGCAGCTTTTGGTCAGCCACATTTAAAGGTGCAATAGGGCCTTTGGATTCTAAAGGATTAACGGTAAAAAAAAAAAAGTGTAAGGGAAGTAAATAAAGTTTCTTTAGGTGAGTTCCTATAATTTCCTTTTTTATAATCAAATAATGCAGATAGGGAATATATATGGTATTTATATCAGTTGTTTATAATTTAAATATAATTAAAAATGGCTACGAATAAGTACATTCTTTTAAAAATAACTCATCCAACTTTGCTTGTCTAATTTCTAATATTTTGAAGCATTCTGATGAATGTAAGAGAATCATAAGTATCAGTCAAAATATTCTTGAGTGATAGATTTTTTTTGTGTGTTTTTCTGGAAAACTATTTCAGGCTAACTGGACAAATCAAGTTTATACCTGTTCTGTGAAAATATTTCTTCTGTAATCAGGTAACTGAGTAATTTAAGGTCAAATTTTTTTAAAAAATAGAAATTATCTGTAACATAAATGACAGAGGGAGTTGAAGACATAACAATACAATCTTACAATTATCAGAATGAAACCTTAGTCTTAGGAAAATCCCTGATCTTTAATCTTTTGTCCTCTTTAATATATGATGCCCAGTTCTAAGGAACATCATATCTTTCCCTGTACCACACAAAGGGGTAGGAATTCCTTGGAAGGGCACCCATCTGCAATAGGTTTATAGGACAAGAAACCAAAGTAGTTCCCATTTTCTTTCCAGGAATTAAAAAAAATAATAAATCAGTACTGGCTCAGTGAACAAGCAGATGACTATTATGAAACTCCTATACTAAATTTTTAAAAGCAGAAATCCAGAAGAGGAAATCTGATCACTTCTGAAAAATGACTGTCACTCACTTTTCATGCTGCCATGATGTATGCAAACATGACAAATGATTCTGCATGATGAAATATGGCTACCAAACCACACTGCTCCATAACTCTCACCTCTATCTCCTCCTCATAAAATTCATGTATGTTGATATGACTGTATCTCCCAAACGCAGCACGACTGTGAGAAATATTGTAATTTTTAAAATGAAAAATATATTAGTATCAAAATTTAGGACCTGGTTGGGTACAACTGATGGTAAAGAATGCAAACGATACCATTTCAGTGTCCCTACATATCATCTAAACCATGCAGTTTAAAGAAAAAAAATACTGACTTTTTAGGTTTCAGTATTTTAGAAATGCTGAAATTATTTAAATTCTTATAATGATAAAAACTTATCTGTAATATTTCACCTTGTCCCAAAAAGATTTAACTCTTTAGTTGGACCAATCATAACTTCTAATCTGTGTTTAATAGATATCTGTAACATCACCTCACTATGGAAATAAAAGATAATGTTAAAAAAAAAAACAGAAAATAATAAGGTTGGAGTTAAAGAGTTAACAGTATGAAAAAAAGGGATTAAAATAAAATGATGAAAAATGCCTGCCTTTTTTCAACAGTGGTTGAGTTGGAGTCTTGCCATCCTCTTCCTCATCTAGATTATGTTTAAAAAACACAAAATATTAAGTTAATTGCTTTTATATCAATAAAATATAAATAGAGCACATTTTAAACAAAACAGTATGAAGCAACAGTCCATGAAAAATGATCAAGACTGAAGATTAATATTTTCTACACTAGTGTTCAGGTTTTTAATATGCCAACATATCTTAGACCCTACAGGGCAAATGATTAACACTTACCCTGAAATTTTATTCCTGTAAGTTTATCCAAAAAACCTTCGGCAGAATTTTTAAGCTTTTACGTTTGCAATCAGTTGAGAAGGTATAAAACTATAGCTTGTAGAGTAGAAATAAGATATTACAAAATTGGTTTGCAGATAATACATTTTAAATATGTCACTGCACAACTGTGCAAATAACTAAAAAGCAATTTTAGAAATATCTGATATTTCGTATATGTAAAAGTTAATCACTATTTGAAATATTAAGAAATTTGAGCAGTGGCAGGGGTCTTTGCTTTATATAAATGCTAAGTTATATAAGAATGGCTTTCTTCAAATAAATGTACATATAAATGCATGTACATGTGCATGTATTCATCCAGTTATATTTAAGTATTCACCAGATTTCCCCCACCCTGGGGTTAGTTTTGCTAACCCCACGTTTCTTCTAAATGTAAGCTTGTATTATTTGCTTGTTTAAGGCACATAAAATTTTGAACTTGGGCAGATAAGAGTATAGTGCACTGGGCTCTTGAGTTAGACTTCCAGGATTCCAGTATTACCTCTACTCCTTTCCTAGCTGTATGAGTTTGAGCTGATTACATAACTCTTTGATTTCATCATTTGTAGAAAGAGTTAGCAGCACCTACCTCTTAAGTTGTTATATTGCAAGTACTGATGCAATGAGCTCAGGGTTTGATACAAAGTAAGCTTTAAAGGAGTATTCTTTTTGTCTCCTTGCATACTGTATGCCTCAATAATCAAAAAAGATATAACCAAATGCTGTCACTACACAATAATTATACCAGAATGTTTCCAATTCTTAAGACTTTTTACATAAACTTCTTAGTAGTTTGCTGATGCTGAGACTTCACCAAATAGAAAGCAAACACAAAATAAAGCTAATATTGTATTTTTATGCATGTTATAGAAAAAACCAACTATTATATTTAATTTTATGGTACTAAATATTACTGTTCTCATAAAGTATATATTTAATATATCTACCTTTAATAATTAAAAAAAACTGTAACTATGGACATTCTGTATTCACTTATAATAGCTCAGAAATGTCAAGTAAATTATCGATATTTAAAAATGATTTAAACTAATTTAAAGGCATGTAGGTTTTAACAACAGAAAGATGGTTAGAGATGTTCTGACCCAGTTTCCTAGTCTACAAAAATAATGTGAGTTACAGTCTTATAAAATCATTAAGAAATTAATGCATGAATAGCAGATTAAAATGTGGGAGCACAGAGTAGCTGCTTGATAAAATTAGGTTTTCCCCTTCCAACAACTCATACATTAATTCCTAATAAACTGTAGAGAAAGGATCTATTTTATGCAAGAGAAATTAACAACAACAACAAAAATAAAAGTAGGAGGAAATTAAAGAATGTATACCATAAATTAAAATAAATGTAGGAGCAGAAGAATAGTTATCAGAATCAATTTATGGAGTTTTGAGGCAAAAAAGAAAACAATTATAATCAAGCCAGCAAAGAACTGAAAGGGAAAATAGGTTTTGACTGCACTTTCAACTGCTGTTCCTCTTAAGCAAACAAGGTACATAAGAAGGGATTAAAAAGCAACGCTAATACTTCTAAGGTAACCTAGAAGAAATAAACTGCATAGACACATAGTTTGTTTCTAATGTTTCAATTTCACAAAAGGTGACCATTTTATAGATATAGAAATCAAAAGTATGCTGTGGTTAGATGGTTTACAGTGCATTTTTTTTCTTGTAGTATATTAGTTGGGAATAAACAGGACAGATGGAGATACTAGTCTGAAGAGAGGTAGGAGAATGAGGGTGGGAGAGTAAGATTTGGAAGTCATCCCTTGTCCCTTCTCATAAATGTGACATACAGATTTGTGAATGAAATTTTCTGAAAGTCTTCTCTGTTATTATAAAATTACCATGTTCCTTCAAAGTTCAGATTTAAACTATGCTTTAAATTAAAATGTTTTATTTAAAGCAAATATAAATAAAAACATACAAGACCATGTTCATTGGCATAGTTTTTGTTCTATGATCCTCTTTAATACTTTAAAACAGCTTGTCATTCTGTAGCCATTTTCAAAGTCATAAATTTTATCTAACTATAAATAAATGGTGACAAGTTTGAGAATAGGCTATTTTATAATATATATAACAAAAATCATTTCCTCCCCAGGTTGAAACATTAACATTAATAAATTTTCTTGTTCGATTGCAAATTACCTTTATGTGTAACAGATTTTTCACCAGATGTTTTGGAAGTATCTAAATCCGATTTTTTACTGTACTCCACATTTAGTACCACATCCTTGGCGCCAGGAGATTTCTCTTGGGATGACAATAATTCTTCTGTAAACATGAAAGCATTTAAAAGAGTATCTAAAATCATTTTAACAGTTCAAGAAGGCATCGGGGTTTAATAATTAAATGATATTTTACAGCAAGGTTAATTATGGAATAGAAAATTAATTATAAATGATTCCTTATGTAAATGTGATGTTTTATGTGAGAGTCTGTTTGATTATTTAGTTAAATATGTTTTGAATATTCACTTAAATATAGAAGCCACAACCACATGGCTAAGATATCTGAATTAGGTGCTAGAGAACAAGTAATGAGTGAAATTCACTTAATAGTACAACCTACATGGAAAAAACAATGATATATAGTATATGAAACAAACCCTAGTTCCAATGTTACAAATATAAAAATGTAAAATGTAACCAACATTTATATGCAAGTAAGCAGAGAACACTGAAAAAATTATACCCAAACTATGAAGCTCAGACCACAGAATTTTTTCCTAACAAGCTCATGGTGAAAGTACCACTTCTTCACTTTTAAATATTTTTTTTTTAAATGACTTTATTTATTTACTTGTATGTGGTGCTGAGGATTGAACCTCACATGCTGGGTGAGCGCTCTACTGCTGAGCCACAACCCCAGCCCCTTAAATCGTTTTTTTTTTTCTTTTTTTGGCAAGGAGTTAGTGAATATTTAATTCCTATAACACATTTATCATTCAAATATGAGATTGATAATCTGCCCATAATCATCATAACTTATTTTTATAAATGAAGAAAAGTAACAACAGAACTATGGAGTCCACTGACCAGCATTATGACAGGAACTTATAGGCCTTATCTATTCTTTAATCTTTATGACAGCCCTATGGGATAACTCTGCTCTAACAGACAAGGAAACAGAGTCCTGGAAGTCAATTAAGGCTGGGATTAAGAAATCTATTTGGTTCCAACACCTGTGCTCTTAATTCCTACACCAAATCATATTCCTATAAATTCTCAAAAAAATGTAAAAAGTATAAATCCATGAACAAATACTTTGAAAAAAAGTTTCTATAACATTCAAACCTCAGCAAATTATAGAACTATGCAAGCTATTAGCCAAATTGTGATATTTCTCAGTGAAAGGGAACAACACTACAGATAATTCTGCGAAGTTAACAGATGTAAATCAGGTATCCTAAAGTTCAATCATTGTTAGAATAAGAGAAAATTGAGGCAGTTATCTTTGCCAGGCCTTCCACAGAATAAAATATACTTTGTTACAAAGATAAAGACTTCAAAGTATTTCTTTCAAAACTGTAGAATACTCTTAAAGGGAAAAAAGGGAGGAAGATTAAAATAAATAATACATCTCTAATTTCAATATATAACAGATGACAACATTTCATTATATGCCTCTTGACTATTTAAAGTTAACTAATTCTGATTTAGTTACTTAATTTACAAAGGGGATATACATGTTATCTTAAGCTTATAATATCTTTTAAACTATGAAAAATTCAGGATATAGACATTTCCATAGTTTTAATAAAGTTGACAAAAGCAGCAATTACACCTTTGGTTTTAACCTTCACTTTAAAAATGCTATGAAAGTGACATTGTATTATATAGAGAGCATTTTAGACATGACCAAATTACTAGTAATGAGGGTCAGGGAAGAAGTGTGGTGAGAGCTATAAATAAGGAACGTGAAGGGGAATCTTTGTAGTGACAGAATAGTTTGTATCCTAACTATGGTGGTAGTTGTACAAATAATGTGATAAATAAAACAGAATGACATACACATGCAGCCAAGTGAATGTAAAACTGGTAAAACTGGAATAAAATCTGTAGACTGTTTCCTAGTTTGAGATAGTACTCTAGATATGCAAGATGTTACTAAAGGGGATGGAGTTAGATTAAGAATATAGAGGACATCTATGCACTACTTTATATGCATCTTAAATATTTTTAAATGACAAGTTTCTTTTTATAAAATGGGTCTTTTCTGAAGACAAAAAAATTGTGACAACATTTAATCTTTATTACTGTGACTGTATAAAACATTACTTTTATAAGCATGAAAACAATGATTTAGTAATCATTTAAAAATTTTCTCACACACTATTATTTTACTTATGTACTTTCATAATTTTGTTCCTAGACAATTATAGCTAATATCTGCTTCTCTTAACATTATTTGAATCAAATTTAATCTCTTCATTAATAATCACTAAATATCATCCAAGCTGACACAAAGAAAAAACACACTTTGATGGATTCCAAATAGATATGATCTTAAAATGCCATATAACAGTCTATGAGAAAATAGATGGTAATCATGAAAGTTAATGAAGAATGTAAGAATCATATACAATTTTCTAACAAAGTAATTTATATATTTTAAATAAAAACTTATTTCAAATGATGTTTACCTTGTCCTTGAAGATGAGATATATCCAAACCTTCTTTTAGGCGGATAACCACTACTCCGTACTGTATGTCAAAGGCATCACTATAAAATTTAGAGATCACAACAATTTATGTTCTCCATAAAATGAACATAATCACATATCTCTAAAATCACTTTCAGACTTAAATATATGTTTTCTTTCATATGCTTAAAAAATTAGTTGGTAAGATATAAATGTTGCTTTCGAATCCTATACTTTCCCTTTCCCTTCTTCCACAGTACTATCATGTGCCACACAACGCTTTGGTCAATGACAGAGTACAACTACATATACACCCACATATGCTAAGTAGTCTAAATGTGTAGTAAGCTATGCTATCTGGGTTTGTGTACATACATTCTATGGTGTCCACACAACAAAATCAGCTAACATTCTTCAGAATGTATCCCTGTCGTTGTGACACATATACTGAAATTCTACCTAAAGTAGCTGTTAAAAGCAGTAATAGTATTTTTATCCTACAAAGTAAAATTATGGAATTTCAGTAATCTTCCTCTACTTATATTCAGGTTCATACCCTTAACGTCAAGAGAAATATATGATACTTATAATCAGGCTCATACCCTTAACATCAAGAGAAATATATGAAGACAAAATATAGTCTACTGAGAATGACAGCAGATTGTAGGGTATGAAGAAATTTCTGAAAGAAGGGTATTTTAAAATAATTTCAAAAATTTTTACAAAATTGGTTTAAAAAGTAGTTCAAAGATTTTATATATACTAAAAACCTTGAAGGTGATTCTAAAAGCAGACAAAGTCTAGAAACTTGTTAAGACCATAAATCTTCTGTTCTGGCTCAAGTTTTCCCTTAAATTTTCTGAAAAGATAAATTTCAAAAGTTAAGTTTTTCTAAATGAGTGGTAATGGGATTAACTTTTATCTTTAACTGAGCCTTGAGAGAAAAAACCCAGCCCATAACTCATGGGATTTATGATTTATGGCCTACATAATTTATTCTTTGTTTCCACTGTATTTTCCTCTGTCCCCCTAAATACAGAGTACAGAATTATGAAGTTAGAATGAGATTTTACTTTTTAAAAAAGTAATAAACCCCAAGTCAAATAGCAGTCACAGCACAACAAAATTAGCAGAGCTTTAATCTTAACTAAAAACACTTAACAATTAGTTGAGAAATTTTGTTCATCATAAAATCAGTATAGAGATTAAAAAAAAAATAGAGTGAAATCTGGATATTTCCTTAAAGACTCTTTAAATGCAGCTATAAAAAGAAAACTATATTCTATGTGAGAGAGGAAATAACCATGTTGTATCTATAGAAATAACAGGAGTTACAGTAAGGGAGATAATGCCAGTGAATTAAGGATAATCAGATCAAATTCATAGAAAAAACAGGACTTGACTTTGATCTTGGCTAAATACAAGGGTTATATTTATTTTTTTAATTTAAGGAAAACTGTATATAAAGACATACTTAACAAGAAGGAGAGGATAGCTCTAGGTCATCAGTAACTATGACATGAAAAAGACTATATTCTTCAACTCTGGCATATAGAGAGGATGCTTATCCTTAGGGTGAACAAGATAAATTTGCTTAGCAAATCCTAGAGTACTAGAGAAAGGAAAGAAGTACTTTTCAATATTTAAGAAGTAAATTTGGCAAAAAGTTTTTTGATGCAATGACTTAGTTCCATAATCATAGGTAGCAGATTCCATAAAAAAGTATATACACAAAAATTCATGAACCCCAAGTAAAAACAAAGACAAAGAAACAAAAGAATTTTAAAAAACAAACAAACAAAAAAACCCTATCAGACAATTCATCAGAAGAAAGTTACAGTGATGGAAAATAAAACTAAGCTATATGATAAAGATCATTGAAAATATCACTGAAAAAGGAATAGTAAAATCAGAACTTAATGCTTCAAGGGGGTAAAAAAGGAAACATGTAAATAGGTTTAATAAAAAAATGTTTTAAATAACATCATGGATGAACCAAATGACTAACTGCAAAATTAGTTTGAAAGGAGAACACAACTAAACCCATGAGGCTGAGATAATGCTAAAATTCCCTTCCTCAGCATAGGACATTATAATGACATAATTTAGAAGGTGATTGTACTGAGAACATTTGAGAACTCTGCTCAGTAAGAGCTGAAGGGATAAAAAGTGGGAAGCCAGAATGACACACACACTCACTCTTGAGTATGTGTGCTTCCATACCCACATGTACATACATGTTTATGTATAATGTGTGTTAAAAAGGTAAAGATAAAATTGAAATATTTCACTAATAGATTAAAACCCAGACCCTTTGTGTGATTCCTTTCACTCTTTTAGAAGACATTATTTTTAAAAAAGTATTCAAAATTAGTATTTTTCTGAACTAAATTACTGAAATAAAAAATACTTACTGAAATAAGTTTATATACATATCCACATCCCTCATATCTGCTTGCAACCAATCTTTCTTAAATCCAAGAACAAGTGTGTTTGGTTTCATACGACCAAGACCAGCAGCCTAAAATATACAATAAATACAACTTCAAATATATACTACTCAACAAAATAGTTTTTTAAGAGATGAAAATCCTCCAAATTAACAGTCTCTAAATATTATATGGACTTATCAACAAAAACTCTTCAGCAGGCCATACATAGGTGCTGACTTATAAATTACATATAGTACATTGATCACATATTACACATATATATACTTCTCATAATTTACCAAAATTTCTGTGTATATTTATTGGCAAATATTAAATACACTTAATTTTCTAAAATCCTAATAATATAGGTGTATTCTCAGTTACTTTTTAAAAGTCCAAAGGGCTACAGTTTTAAATTACAATATTAAAATTTGAATTCTATCAATCATGCAAGTTTCTGCTGAAATTTGACTAATTTCTTTCCTCAACTTTTCAATTAATCACATTTTTTTGCAATTTCATCAGGAATTGCAATACGATATGTTAAACAAATTTGCCCAAAAGCCCAACAAAATCTCTTGATTGTAAAGCATACTGGAAAACTGTGAGATTGTGATTAAAAAGTTTTTAAAATATGCCATTTTAACCCTTTTGTTTTGTTTCGTACCAGGGATTAAACCAAGGGGTGTTTAACCTCTGAGCCAAATCCCTAGCCCATTTTTTATTTTTAGACAGAATATTGCCAAATTACTCAGGACCTCCATAAGTAACTGAGGCTGACTCTGAACTTTAAATTTGCCTGCCTCAGCCTCCCAAGCCATTGAGATTAACCTACAGCATCTGGCTTAAAGCATTTTCAACAGGTATTAATTACATTCAAAATCCTTTACATCTAATACCACTAATTACTTCCAAAATGTCTTCATCACCCCAGTAGGAATTCTGTAACCATTAAGTAATAACTACCTATTCACTCTTCTCCCGAGCCCCTGGCAACATTTAATCTACTTTTATCCCAGTTAACTTGCCTGTTCTAGATATTTTCTGAATTGAATTACAGAATTTGATCTTTTGTGCCTATTTGTTTTAATTTAACAGAATGTCTTCCCGTTTAATCCATACTATATCAAAATATCATTCCTTTTTATAACTGAATGAATTTTATCTTATATATACATATTTTATTTATGCATTATCACATGATGGGTAGTAGTTTCTAATTTTGGCTATTGTGATTAATGCTGCAAAAAACACTGGTATACAGATCTGACTCCTTTTAAAAATGTTTTTAGGTAAAGATCAAGATCATGGTAATTTTGGGTTTAGCTTTTTGAGAAACCATTCCTATGATGTATATATCATTTTATACTTACACCAACAATTCACAGATTCTCATTTTTCCACATTCTCAACAAAACATTTTCTAGTTTTTTTCAACTTTAACTACACTAGGTAGATTAAGTGGTATCTCACTGTGATTTTGATTTGCATTTTCCTAATAACTAAAGATGTTGAACATCATTTACTTACTGGCTATTTTTATATCTTTTGACAATTTTAAAATTCCATTCTTTTTTGTTACTATTTTAGACATTCTTTATATATTCTGTATATTAAGCCTTTATCAGAATGTTTGTGAATGAATATTCTCCCATTCTACAGGCTGGTTTTGACATCAACTTTTGTTGTTGTTGTTCATACATTTGGTGCTGAATTACAGAGTCCATTGCCAAATCCAAGGTCATGAAGATTTATCTCTGCTTTCTTCTAAAGTTTTATGGTTTTAACTCTCATATTTATGTTGCTGATCCATATAAGATATTTTTGTATATGATTTCAAAGGATATATTAATCAACATTTGCATTCTTAAAACAATCCGATTATTTATCAAAGGCTAAGTATGTGACACTGTCCCAAGTACTTGGAATAATTAAAGATCAGAAGAAAAACCTCTAATCCTATAAAGCTTCCAAATATACAATCCATGTACAAATTTCTTCAAAGAGCTTTTTTCTTCCTTCTCAATGCTAAAAACAACATCTTTGCCTTGAAGAAACAGCTAAAATTTTTTAAAAACTAATAACTGGCAATCACTACAAAATAGCACATTTTAAATTTGAAGTGAGGTGGAGGGCAAATGGAATATAAAAGAAAACCAAAAATTACTTTTAGATTTTATAGGTCTTTAAAGAACTAAGTCACAAGATAACCATTAACTCATTAGTTGTTCCTTTTAGTTATGCATGACAGTAGTGTATTCTGACATATTTATATAAACATGGGATTTATCTTATTCTAATTAAGATCTCACTCTTGTGGATGTACAAGATATTAAGACTTACTGTGGTGTATTCACAGGAAAGTTATGTTAGATTCATTCCATTGTCTTTCCTAACCCTTCTCCCTTCCCTTCATTCCCTTTTGTCTAATCCACGGAACTTATATTCCCCCTTGGTTGTAGGTTTATATTCAAATATCAGAGACCATTTGACTTTTGGGGGTGGGATGGGTATTGGCTTATTTCATTTACCATAAATAATAGTCTCTAGATCCATTTACTAGCAAATGTCATAAATTCATTCTTCTTTTTGGCTAAGTAATATTCCATTGTGTATATACCACATTTTCTTTATCCATTCAACTTTTGCAGGGTACCTAGGTTGGTTCTATAGTTTAGCAACTGTGAACTGAGCTGCTATTGAGCATGCTGATTTTAACTCTTTGGATATATAGCTAGGAGTGACAATGGGGTCAAATGATGGTTCCATTCTAGGTTTTCTGAAAAATCTCCACATTGTTTTCTAGAAAGGTTGCACCAATTTGCAGTCCCACCAGTAATGCATAAGGTACTTTTTCCCCCACATCCCCATGAACATTTATTGTGACTCATATGACTGATAATTGCTATTCTGACTGGAGATGGAATCTCAGTGGTGTTTCAATTTGCGGTTCTCTAATTGCTACAGATGTTGACCATTTTTTCCATATATTTGTTGACCACTGTATTTCTTCTTTTGAGAAGTGTCTGTTCAGTTCCTTTGCCCTTTTATTAATTGGACTGGTTTATTTATTTATTTATTAGTGTTAAGATTTTGAGTTCTTTATATATCCTGGAGATTAATGCTCTGAAGTGTGGGTGGCAAAGTTTTTCTCCCATTCTGTAGGCGTTCTCTTCATGTTCTTGATTGTTTCCTTTTCTCTGGAGAAGTTTTTTAGTTTGATATCATCCCATTTATTGATTTATTTTAGGTCTTGAACTTTAGGAGTTTGTTGAGTAAGTCAATTCCTAAGCCAACATGGTAGAAAGTTGGGCCTACATTTTCTTCTGGTAGTCACAGGGTCTCATAGGTCTAAAGCCTAGGTCTTTGATCCACTTTAAGTATTGTGTAGGATGAGAGATAGGAATTAAATTTCATTTTGCTATATTTGGATTTCCAATTCTCCCAGCACCATTTGTTGAAGGAGGCTCTTTTCTCTGATGTATGTTTATGGCACCTTGGTCTAGCCTAAGTAGGGGGTTTGTCTCGGCATCTCCTATTCTGTTCCATTTGATGCCAATACCATGCTGTTTTTGTTACTATTGCTCTGTAGTATATTTAAGGTCTGGAATTATGATACCTCCTGTTTTACTTTTCTCACTAATGATTGCTTTGGCTATTCTAGGCCTCTTATTTTTCCCAATGAATTTCATGATTGCTTTTTCCACTTCTATGAAGAATGTCATTTGAATTTTAATAGGAATGGCATTAAATATGTATAGTGCTTTTGGTAACATGGCCCTTTGACAATAGTAATCTGCCTGTCCAAGAACATTAGATATCTTTATCTTCAAAGGTCTTCTTCAATTTCTTTAGTGTTCTGTAGTTTTCACCTTTTTGTTAGATTGATTCCTAAATATTTTATTTTCTTTGAGGCTACTGTGAATAAGACAGCTTTCCTAATTTCTCTTTCAGTCATCACTGATGCATAGAAACACAAATGATTTATAGATGTTAATTTTATATCCTACTACTTTGCTGAATTCATTTGAGTTCTAGAAGATTTCTGGGTCTTCTAAATACAGAACCATGCTGTCGGTAAATAGAGACAATATGAGTTCTTCTTTTCCTATTATATCCCTTTAATTTCTTTCATCTGTCTACTTGCTCTAGCTGGAGTTTCCAAGACTGTTGAATAGAAGTGGTGAAAGAGGAAATCCCTGGCTTGTTCCAGTTTTTAGAGGTAATGCTTTCAATTTTTTCCCATTTAGAATAATGTTGGCCTTTCAGCATTAACTTCTTGGTGGGACAAAATATTGCCAGAGTAAACTCCTCCTCATCACAAATTTGCCATAATTCCATTATAATCAAAAGGTTTATTTGTGTGTGTGGTTTTTTTTTTTGGGGGGGGGGCGGGGGTTCCTGGGATTGAGCCCAGGGCCATGTACATGCTAGCCATACTCCAGTGTGTAGCTCATACTCCACCATTGAGCAACACACTGCTGGCTCCCTAAAGATCTTAACTTTATAAAATTAACAACAAAAATTAACAAAAATTAACAACAACAAAAATAACAACACAAAAAAAATAACAAAAAAAATTAACAATAACATCCTGTTATATACTCTGTGCACTTCTGCTTCCAACTTCATTACTGAGATAACTTTCCCCAGAATGACTGAATGAAGAAATCTCTAAATTCTTCAATCTCTAAATCCCTAAATTCTTCGTAAATTCTAATCAAAGTACTTATTTTGTTAGAGGGTCATGTTTTCACAGTTTCCAACACAGTACATGATGTGTATTAGGGAAATAGTTTATTTCAGAAAACTTATCTACTCCAGAACATATTTCTCTAATGGCTGACAGAAAATCATTCTTCATGGATTCCATAATTGAAAATGACTTGGCAAAATGCAATCTTTTGAACCTTATTACAAACATTACTATCTTCAACTCACTAGCAATGTTTGTTTTCTGTGTGTCTCAGACTACAATTTGTAGTAAGAAATGCATCTGTTGTTATAATTTTCTTTGTAGTAAAAATTCTTGTTAATGATACAGCCAAAAGAACAACTGTTTTCCCAACTGTAGTTTTTCATTTTGTCTTTCACTACTAAGTAAAAACATTTTCTAATATCATAGTTGCCTATTTAAAATTTACTTGAGTTCTGATATGACATTTGTATTACTTTAAAAATCACTGAAAAAAACACCAAATTTTTGCTACATGATCTGGATAGTTAGTTTTGAAAAGTTCAGTCAAAAACGATGGCTTCAAGTTATAATTAGGTAATAACATCATGGCATCATTTATACCTAGATCCAAGCTATATGGATATAAATGTATACTTCAAATATTTTTATTGCCCATTTAGAATTTTTGATCCACTAATTTGAGAACATCTTTTTTTTTAAAAAAACATTGTTTATTTCAACATATGATAAAGAAATATCAGGAATACACAACACATACCACACAAGATAATTCTAGACCATTTTTCCTCCAGGAAAAAATAGTTTTGTCTACACTGAAATCCTACATGAGATTCATTTGCTTTAAAGGGCTATCATTATACAATCTGGAATTTTCTTTAAGAACAATGTCATTTTGCTATTTAAAATAAAGGTTTTAAATTGGGTTGATAATCAAGTGGCTGCTGTCTCAAAAAAAAAAAAAGAAAATGAAAAACCCAAATATACAAATGAAAAAATTAACATTGTTATGTCTCACTGCCTAAGGGGTTTTTATACAAACTACTGATAAGATTCTTTCTGAAAGTGAATCTTACTTTGTTGTGTAAGATGTATGTTCAAATGCTTGTTGAATGGTATTCTTATGATGGTATGCAGGGACAGAGAAACTACAGATACAAAGTTTAGTAAAATAAATAACAGAACCTATCTAAAAGACACCTCGAGGACTGTAGAATACTGCCCAGAGTGGTGGTGATTCACACCTGTAATCCCAGGGGCTTGGGAGGCTGAGGCAGGAGGATTGCAAGTTCAAAGCCAGCCTCAGCAAAAGCAAGGTGCTAATAAGCAACTCTGTGAGACCCTGTCTCTGAATAAAATACAAAATAGGGCTGGGGATGTGGCTCAGTGGTTGAGTGCCCAAAGTTCAATCCCCGGTACCTGGCCCCCACCCCCTCCAAAAAAACCCTGTAGACTACTGTTAACACACTAGAGACAAATTAATGTACATAAATATTTTCTGACAAAGATTACAAGGCAGGAAAATATTATGCGGGCATTTGTCACTTCACCTACTAGGGCTCCAGAAGGTACAAGGGAAAAATAAATACTTTCAGTGAAAATTTAGATTACAATATCTATTAGTCCTCTAGGGGCAAGCTGGCACCTACTAGTAAGGACATTTCATACTATTTCTCAGACAGCTTAGGGATCTTTGTAAAGGGCTTGAATTTGTCAGGTTTATAGGCAATGATGATACTGTTCTATTTATCCTACTTTGCCCATATTGATAAAATTTTCAGGATGCATGGGAGTATGTTAGGTTGATGAGAATGGATTGTCTCTTGCCAAATTCACAATATTTTCATATATACCACAGAAAACCTCTAGGTGAGTGTTGCAAATTAGCACAATGTTCTGACAGGTGAGTAGTTCTCTAAGTATGATCTCTGAACTGGACAACCACCAGTGGTGGTATCAGGAAATTTATTAGAGATTTAAATTCTTGAGACTTAGTGCAAACCACTTGACTCACTTGACCACTGCTTTAAGAAAGAATTTTCCTTCATAAAATGTATTACATACATAGTAATCATAATTTTTTAAACTTTTTAAAATTTTATTTTAAAATTTGTCCAAATTAATAATAAATTGTATAAAAGTAAGCAAGATTTATCCACTGTAAACAACCTTATGACAAGGGGTAGCATTATACCTGAAATATTTAACTATATCATGTACAAAAAGGTATTAGTATATAAAATCATGTATTCACCACTCAGCTAAGAAAAAAAAATTAATAACACATGAAGTACTCATATGTATCTTTATGCCCACTTTTTAGTAGTGGGGATTGAACCCAGGATTGTTCTCCCATTGAGCTATATCCCCAGCTCTTTTTTAAAAATTATTTAAAAAATTAGATAAGGACTATATTAGTTACCATTTTTATTAAAAAAAAAAACAGTAAAATGCAGGAGGAATAGATGGAAATATTTTATGTGAATAATAAGCTAACTTTCTAATAGGTTCTTGGCTACCAGCCAAGAATTTCTATAGTCCTTTTAGTTCAGAATTATAAAATGTAGTCTGTCATAATTAAGATATTTCAAAAGAGTTACCAATTGTATGACTACGAAGAAAGAAATCCAGAATGAAAATGTTCTAAGAAGCTTATATAAAACCAGAATTGAGACACCTGAGAGGCCGACACATTTACCTGCATCAAATACTGTGCACCCTCTCTCAAGTCATCTGCATGCACTGGAGCATAAAAAGCCTTCATTTTGTTTTTAATAAGCCATCGTTGATATTTGGCTTGATCAATGGACATCTCTTTCATGGCTTGTCTTCGAGGGCCCTTTAAATTAAAAAAAAAAACTTAACAATATATTTAATTAAAAGGTAATCCATTTTACATTTATAAAAACTATCCTATTATACAAGGTTGAAACAAGGTCTCTAAATATTGGTGTGGGAGAAGTCTAATAAAAGTATTTTATTTTCATGTAACTAAATTCTTCCTAATACTTAAGATTACAAAAAAAGCATACTCAATGGCACAAGAGTATGCTAGCAGAAGGCAGGAAGATAAGAGGAAGGAACAGACTTTAAAATAAACATATCAATCCATCATCAGAGAAGCTAGAAAATTATTTAAAATGAGGAAGAGATTATACAAAACAAAATAATAGCTTTCCACTTTTCTATAGAAAGTTTCCTAGTTTATTGTTTGTTTGGCCTAAATGTTATTAATTCTCAGTGACTGAAGAATATTACTGAAAATTAGAGTGAATTATGTATTAATACATTTTTCTTCACACTTCTGTTAAACATGAAATAAAAGAATCTGTGACCTTAAAGTTCGATTTTGATCCTTGTAAGCAACCCTAAAAACATGTTATATACAAATACACAAAGCAAATAGTTTAATTGTACATACCTCAATGAAGATTAAGGAAAAATATTTTCTGTTAGAGAAATTGCTTCATTTGTAATGTTTTGTGCTCAAGTCCCTGGCTTGAACTGACAATTTCAGACAAACTGGAAAACTCCACATGTTCCAAGTGAGATCACTGTTTCAATGTATCCTTCTACCAATCCTCACTAGAGCTCATGGGCAGCTGTGCCACCCCCCCTCCCTTGATTTTGCCACAAGTAAAAGAGCAACTCCGGTAGAAGCTGGGACATGGGGCATACAACACATATTTTCAGCACCAAAATAAGATTAACAACATAGCTTGGGAGAAAAGTGAATCTGACAAATATTCCAATTTCTTGTGCTGAACAAGTAAACCATCACCCAGTGATTGTTCTCAACATCCAAGATGCCAACAACAAAAAACTATTTTGGGCATGAACATTTACCACTATTTTAAATTATATTCTTACTTCTGGTAAGTATAACAGTGAAGATTCAAAATGTCAAAATCTTTCTAAAAATGTTATATTGATACTGTTTATAGGCAAAAATATTTTAAAGAAAACTACCTTAAAAAAAGTGACAATTTGTCAAGTTGCTTCCAACCCAGAAAGTGTTACAAATAACAAGTTACATAGAGTTAAAAATGCTTTAATCCAGAAAACAAAAATTGGTTCTTACCATATGAACATGGCCACAAATCATCAATCCAACATTTTTCGTGAAATCATGAACAAGGTGAAGTAAAGCTGGGCGTGAATTGGGAGAACCTGTCATAACAAGGCACTGTGGCCTAATTTAAGATTAAAAAGATAAAATTAGAGAAATTTGTGTTTTGGGCTATAAGAACATGATATTCAAGCTGTTTCTCTAAGAACAAAATATTACACTAGAACATTTATGTAATTGTCCTTAAGACACAGTCCATAGGAGTCTCTTAAAATGTAACTTTTATCTAGGCCTTTTTGGTACATGAAAAATGCAAAAACCAACACTTCTGAACAAACATTATGCCAAATGTTCTTCTAAAATAGGTAATATTATATATGAAGTTTCTGATAGTACTATAGGAAGAAATTACATGGCTAGTTAAAACTCTTCATGTTCTAAAGGTAATAAATATCCTAGTTCCTTCATAGAACTTGGAAAACTTAAGAGCATGGCCTTGCCTTCAAATATAAAACATGTTTCCTTCTTAGCTTGATCTCATCATAATTACTTCTATTTTATACTATCAGCTCTCTCTAATCTAGCTTAATTTTAATGAGTAGCCATGTAAAATCACCCATGGCAATTTGAAATAAAAGTTGTTAATTCTAATTAATGATGTCGTGAAGGCCAAAACTGAATTGAACTGCTTTTATAAACCTGAGATGGTGATATGACTTTCACATATTAACTATTAAATTTTCATTGACTAGAAGAGGGATTCAATCTCCGTTAACAACAACAAAAACAACAAAATTTTAGTTAACCATTTTGTAAGTCAAAAGAAATTAGCAAAAAATTCTCAAAATCCTTTTGTTATATATTTTTTAAAAGCACAAAACCACAAAGATAAAGAACAAAAGAAAAAACAGCATTGAAATATTGAAAGCTAAGCACAAATGGAAGAACAGTGAGGATAGATGGGTAAACCCCACATAAGCATGAGAAAATGTGAAAATCCCTGATTTTATATCTAAATATGATCAAAATGCGTAGGAATTGTAGTACTAGATACCTCTAGAAGTGGCAGGGACAGTGTGATAAAGAAACAAAAGTAAGGGGAACTGGTTTCAACTCTGTATAAGAAGCAACTAGAAAAACTCAAACATTTCCATCTGTATGATGGGCAATTGTCCTGTACCTCCTCAGTCCTAATTGGCATATTTGTTAGAACTTCTGGTCTGGAGACACCAGAAACAACCAAGAGCAGAAGCAGTCTGTTTGAAATAGAAGCTAGAACATTTATTTATTGAGCTGGGTGCAGTGGCCATGCTTTATGCATGGGAAGCTGAGGCAGGATAATCACAAATTCAAAGCCAGCCTCAGTAATTTAGTGAGGCCCTAAGCAACTTAGTGAGATGCTGTCACAAAATAAAAAATAAGAAAGGGCTAGAAATGTGGTTCAGTTGTTAAGCAACCCTGGGTTCAATCTCTAGTACCAAAAAAACAAAACAAGCCACATTTACATATTGAACCATGAGACACCCAAACTTCCTTCCCTATCTGGCCCTCAACAATTTTGGTGGTAAGAACTTTATGTACAAGCAAAAGATTAAAAGATTCATTTCTGGGAAAACTAATCAAATAAAAAAGAAAGCCTTTAAGATGACTTAAATTCCTCAAAGAACAAGCAAAGCCACCTTAATCTACATTAAAGTCTTTAACTGACAAGACCCACTCACCGATAGCAATAGAGCTTCCTTGCCAAGAATTACAAATACTTTACTTCAGACAAGGCTTAATTTCAAAATCCAACTTAAAGAAACAGAAAACAGTAAAAAAAAAACTTCAAGGAAATAGTAATTACAAGGTGAAGAAAACAAAATCATTAGGCAAGTTTGGTGAAGGCTGAGATAGATAAATACAGTTTAACAAGAAAAAATTATTAGCTTCAGGGAAAACAGAAAACCTGTGCAGCCAAGAAAAAGGTATCATAATACACTACATGGCTCAGCTGTGTCTCATGTTTAGAGCCCTTTCCCCCAAATATCTAAATGTGATCTAATCAAAATAATAACATAAAAATATACTGAAAGATGAGGTAAAGAGAAGTGAGCATGCATGTATTGGGCTCAGGTAGACAAAAAAAGACACTGATAAAGTCTAAAATTAAAAACATGGGATTTATTAAATAAATACTAAAACCCAAAATCTGCTTAAGTTGAAACTGGTTGTCAGTGATGTAAGAGAAACAGGGATACTAGGGGTGAAGCAAGCACTAATTCTGAAGACAAATCTTATATCCCATTTCTTCTTTTAGTGTTCATATCAATTCTAATAAAAAATTAAGTAAAAATGTTCCCATTATTATAATTAGGCAAAGCAACAGGTATTTCTGATGGTAAATTAACTCTTGTTCATACCCTCAGTTATGAGATACAGCATTTTACATAAAAGAATAGTTTCTATTTTTCTGTCACAGTTGGCATCAACTATTCAAAATATGCTAACTAAACTTTTCTTTAAAAAGGTTCTCATTCCTGGTATTTTTCCATTGGTTTACTGACATACATGGAATAGATTTCTGTATTTATTATATAGAAGTCATTAAGAAGTGATTATTTATAACTGAAGAAAGTCACTTGTTCACAGCCAGACTTAATTTGAAGTATTTAAATATTACTGTCTAGTGTTCTACTTTTGAAAACCACAAACTTAGTTTTAGCCAAGTATACATATTAACCTGTAATTTCTAAGAATCCATTATAATAAACAATATTTCTAGATTTAAAGAAGTATATATCAATGGTTCTTTAGTAACCGAATCTGTCATCAATTACAAGAAATGTATTAAAGGATAGTTTTTATATTGATGACTGATACATGATTATAAAGATAAAAGTCTTATGAAGAAAAATAAGAGTTCTCTTTATTGTAAAGAATTGATTCTTTATTACAACTGGTTTTCAGTTAGTCACGAGTGAGAAAGTGAATAACAAATATATTTAGTGTTTCAGTGAAATTACAAAATAATGTCAAAAATCTTTATGAATTTTTATGTATAAAGTGATTTATAATATTAAAACGGCCACTGAGAGAAATATTTTTACTTTATGAAAACTATCACTTGGAAGTTTTCAAATAAGGAACTTCCAAAACTTTCATAACACTAAGGTAAATAACTTTTTTTCTTATACAATTTGGTTTTAAATAATTAAGTTGCCCAAGTCCAAAAATAATACTCTATTCTTTTGGAGAAATTTTATGGAATAACAGAACATCTTGCTGAATTAAGATCGGGCTGGCTAGCCAACACAAAATGTTTCCATGTTAACGTGTCACCTACCTAAAGTTTTTCACATGGTCTTCCACTCCAGAAAGACGAATTGAATGCTGAAGTGCATTCAGATAAGTCAGGGCCTGTGTGGATGATCCCCAGTTTACATCTATAGGAAGACAATATTCATGTAACATAATGCCAATGATTACGTCTCAACAACCAATTTGAGACTCACACTAAAACATACTTTCATATTTTAAAAAGGCAATTGCTAAAATAAATTACTATACTTGACTTTAATATAGCATGACACTACTACTATAAGCATCTTAACTAGAACTGCATTTAAAGTATAATTTAGAAAAGACAGATGATAGTACTGTAGATATATTGTATACACAACTCAAACAGCCTTTTAAGAATAAAGAAATCAATTTAGAGTCAGGGACAGTGATGCTCGCTCAATGGTTTGTAGGGGAGGCTGAGGCAGGAGGATCATGAGTTCAAAGCCAACCTCAGTAATAGTAAGGGGTAAGCAACTCAGTGAGACCCTGTCTCTAAATAAAATACAAAATAGGTCTGGGGATGTGGCTCAGTAGTCAAATGCCCGTGTTCAATCCCTAGTACCAAACCAAACCAAACCAAACCAAACCAAAAAACAATTTAGAATAACTGTTTATATAGCTAAAGGTCTAAACTTTCCAAATTTTTCTTGCTAGATTTTCCGTCTATATTCTGGAGTAATTCCAATATATCCTAGACATCATCATCTTGTGCGTATATACATAACTATTACCAATATGGAAAACATGATCATTAAAGTATTTCCCCGTTAAAACATGTTTGTCCATTTTTCCTTGCCACATAGTAACCTACTGGGAAAGACAGCATGTCATCCAGTGTTTTGTGAATTCTGACCTACTTCCTATAGCTGTAAGATCAATACAGGAAATACATGTGCTTAATAGGCCAGAAGCTACCCAAACCTGATTCTTTCAAAGAGTAATTTTAGCATAGATAGAGTGCCACAGAATGTTAATGATATTAATTTATTATTTTTCTATAAATAGGATTAAATTTATAAGAATAAAACTGCAAAGAAATAGTCTAAGGTAATTATTCATTAAAACTCCATATGTATGTGCCTGCCTATACACTAGATACTTTGGAGTCAGAGGTAGAAGGATTGTAAGTTCAAGGACTACATGAGCAACTTAGACCCTGTCTCAAAAAACAAAAGGGCTAGGAGAGTAGCTTGGTAGAGCAGCCTTGATTTCAATTCCTGGTTCAAACAAACACCTATACTAAAACAAAAACAAAAATCTCAAAACAGAACAAAACAAAAATTCCATGTATTTTAAAAATTACAACAAAAAACTATGTGTACTTAGAAATAAAGTATTTTAGTTTTTACTTGAAATACTTTCCAAATAAACAAATACTAAATAGAAAAGGTTACTAACCTGGTTTTTTGTAGGTAACATAAATATATAGTCCAAGGACTATCACATATGTTAGCAACGCAGCCCACCAGTTAATGACAAACATCACTATACAACAAAGAATTGCTCCAAGAAGTGATATCCACATATTGTAGTATTTGAATGCAGGACGCCATCCTAATGATAAATAGATAAATAAGTCATTTGAATTCCTCATCTACTTATATAAATGGCACATATGTATGTATACACAAAACGACTATAGCTTCCGCACTGAGAGCACTTTAAAGTGCCAGGAATTCAGGAGATATCTAATGAGAAATAGTATCTGTAGTATTTTATATATTCATTTTATTAGAAAGAAACTAATAGCATACCAAGCAAAGTAACATTTTGCTAATAATTTAATAATTCAATATTTAGAACTAATACTACAAATAGGCCAAGTTCTAAATTAACACATTTTTATTAAGGAGACTTAGATCCTCAGAAGGAACAACATTTTTGTTCTATCAGTTCTACCCCTGATTTCATGTCACAGTTTATAAAAGTTCCATATACTTTTCAGTTAATAAGGCTACCTTATGTTAGAATTCCACCAGACTCGAAAACATCTAGAGGGATGAGGATGAAGCTCAGTGGTAGAGTGCATGCTTGACATGTGTGAGGACTTAGGTTCAATCCCCAGTATTAAGAAAACCATTTTTTTTTTTTGTAAAAGGTTAACTACATCATAACAATGTTCTTAGAACTGAAACAGAATCAACTAAACAGTACAAAAAGACTTGAAAAAATAGATAATTCACAACATATTTTAAATGCTTTGAAAATAATAAATAGAATATTATTAAGGGCTGGGGTTGTAGCCCAGTGGTAGAGTACTTATCTAGCATGTGTGAGGCAATGGGTTCAATCCTCAGCACCATATAAAAATAAATAAATAAAGTAAAGGTATTGTGTCCAAATACAACCGCCCAAATTTTTTTTAAAAAGGAATATTACCAGTAAACTTCATGATAAAAGAGATCTTTGAAGCCTTAACTTGATTGAACTATAAATCACAACTGATTATTAATAAGCCCATTCCACACATGGCAACTTTATAACTATGTTTAACTTTTGATTTCTCTCAAATCAAAGACATTAATATATTTATAAAACATTTTTCAAAAACATAATTATCACCTGGAGATTTGGCAAGTGATGCATGGAATACTGAAAAATTGATCAATGCATATGATGCAAGGAAGAAGTTAGAGATAATTGGAGCAATAACATTCAATTCAGCTGTAAAAGAAACAGAATAACAGACATTTTTTAAATTCTTTAAGATCATGAAATATTTCAACATTTAGATAATAGCATAATGAACACCTCTATAGTCACTATCTAGATTTAACAGTATTTTTGCCATAAATGTAAAATAAACTTTACTTTCAGGAATTATATGTACACAGTTGAAACCCTCTTTATATCTCACTATTCCAAACTTGGCATATTCCTTCCAATCATATACATATGATAAAACCAATTCCACACATGCCAACTTTAAAACTATTTTTAAGTTTTGATTTCGCTGAAATCAAAGACAAATATATTTATAAACATTTTTCAAAAACATAATTATCACTTGGAGATTTTGCAAGTAATGTGTGGAATAATAAAAAATTGATCAATACATTGATCAGACATTTATAATATAGTTTTACTTCACATATATAGTCTTGCATTATAAAGTACTTTTGGGGTATTTTTAAAAGAATTTTACATAAATAATAAACTGTATCTATCATTCTTCAATCTGATCTTTTAGGAACCACATCCTCAGTCATATATTTTATTGCTTCTGGGAAAATCTAGGAGCTCCTTGTAGCCCCAGTGAGGACTTTTTACAGAAGGTAATAAATTCAGGAGTAATCTACTGAACAATAATATCTGTAGTACTTTATACATTATTTCATTTGATTAGAAAGAAATTAATAGTATGTACCAAGCAAAGTGATACTTTATTAATAATTTAATAATTCAATGTTAAGAGCTAATTCTACATACAAATGGGCCAAGCTCTATATTAACACATCATTTATATAACTAACCAATTAAAATGAATCCAAGTGCAATTAAAAATGTTAAGATGTAACCACGAAGAGGTTCATTATTTTTTCCATAACCTTTAGCAAACATCTGGAAAGCTGGGTAGATGTTGTCCTTACAAAGAGCCTGATTAAAAAGAAGCAAACATTAGAATATATCAAAATTATTTTCTTACAGTTTCAACAGGTTAATCAGGAAAGGAACCCAAGTTTCTAATCCCAATTCTCTCTCTACTTTCTCATGATGCTTTACCTACAAATTCTGAAAGTGATTAAGACATTTCAAATATTGGAATGGTAACTAGTTTAGACTACCTCTTAAGTTTTCTCTGTTTTACCCCCATTCCCATGTTGAAATTCTTCTATTTATGAATAAAGAATCAGACAAGCAGGTGTAAAAATAAAAATATAATAAAACGGAAGTTTTCCAACTTGATAAGGATGGCATAGGTTTAACAACTTTAAAAAAACCAAGACTAAATTCTAAACAAATAAAAATCCTCATAAAACTTAACCACTTTTCTTAAAATATCATTGAACTCTGTTTTAAGAAATATATTCTATATCTTTACTGTACCTACTGGTTATATTATAATATTAAGAACAAGGCTGTAAAATCAACAGTTAATTTTCATACATTCATAATAAAAAGTATTTATTTCCTATTCCATGTTTAATGTCCATCAAAGGAAAATAGTATTCATCATATTTATCATTATAACCTTAGCAGTTAACTATGTGTGGCACATATTAAGCATTCAAATATTTGTAAAATAAATAATTTACATTGGTGTTGTCAACTTGGACATGACATTTCTCTATTATGTTTTTTTCCCCAATATGTTTGTAGTCTCAGGGATTGAACAGGCCTTGTATATAGTAGGCAAGTACTCTACTATTGAGCCACTCCCCAAAGCCCTTTCCTTATACCACTGATTTATGGTTTAGATTACACTCCTAATTCTTGGTAAAGATTGTGAAAATTTATGCTAGGTTTGTCAAAAAGCAAATCCATCATCATTTCTAAAAGAACAATTCAAAGACTACTATACTATGATAGTGAATAAATGCAAAAAATGTATAAACATGTGCATCTTATACATAAAATGTACACTATGATATGTGCACATGTATGTATCATATACTTCAGGTTGACAGATGTAAATAATTTAAAAATATTAACAATCCCAAACTAAAAATTTTATCTTAGCTCCCTCTTCAATAAAGCTTGCAATATGAAAATACTTACCTGAAATATTTTGGGAGCACTTACAAGAGATGCTAATGCTGAAGAAAGAGTGGCGGAAAAGATACCTGCAGAAATTAATGGTGCAAATCCTGACACCATGCTCATTACCTTAAATAGAAGTGACCAGAAAAAAAAAAGAAAAATAAGTCTTAAAAATAATATGAAAAATGAAAATTATATTATAAACTTGACTATAATACTTTAAGATATGTAAAAATATGTAGTCACAATTTTATTACTGTAATAAATGAGACAATTCTAGGTATAATTTGATGATAGTAAACAATAACAATGTGCAATAATAATTTGCATTACAAATTTCTGAATTGGATTTACCACTAATCCTAAAATGTTTTCCTAAATTTTGTAAAATATCAAATACACATAATGACACAAAGAAGTTTATAATGAATCACCAATTATCCAGCACCAGGTTACAATCAATGTTCAATACAAAGTCAGTCTTTGAATTATTTTACAAAAAAATCCCAGATATTTAGTGCATAAATGTTTCAGTGTTCATCTCTAACAGGTAAAAATTTTTGAAAACTGCAATGACAATGTCACTGTCCTGGCTTAAAAAATTAATCTGTTAACAATAACATATCTGGTCAGCATTCACATTTCCTCGATCATCCCTTTTTTCTTGACCTTTTAAAAGTTTACTCAAATCAGGATCCAAAAAGGATTACATTTATTTGATTGATGTATCTCAGGTCTTTTTCAATCTACAGGTTCACACTCCGTTTTCATTTTATTTATTTGTTTTTATGCCATATCTCCTCTAGAAAGCCTACACCCTGGAGTTTGCTGCCTACATTTCCATTAAGTTTAACCTGTATTTGTCATCTCTATATATTCAGTAAACTGGTTGTTAGATGTAGACAGTTATACTGAGGTATAAGAACTTCCATCAGAAAGATAATTTCTTTTTGTGATGTTAAGATAGTATTGTGGTTATTATTTAAAAAAAAAAAAAGTCCTTAAGAGTTAAACATGGAAATATTCCAGCTGAACAGATATAAAGTCTTCAGTTTGCTCCCAAGTAAACTGACTGGGATGTGGATTTAAAAATAAACAAAAACTAGGCATCCATTAATAACTTTTGGAGCTGGGCAATGTGTACATTAGGTTCATTATATTTCCTTCTCTGTGTTCAAATATTTCCTACTGAATACCTTTTTAAATTTCTTAAACAATGACAAAAAGGATTAATCCTTTAGATCAAGAGAAGACAACCACAGATAAATCCAAAATGAGGAATACAATGCAAAGCATCTTTGCCAGACTATTCAAAATGTAATGTCATAAAGATTAAGACAGGCTAAGAACTACCATAGACTAAGTAACACAACCAAATGTTGGAAAAAAAATAAATGATATTACTGGGACAAGTGAAATAAGAGTATATCATCAATGTTAAATTTCTCAAGTGGGAAAAATGTACTGTGCTTGCACAGAATGCCTTAATTTCAAGATTATTATGTTGTGATGTCTATAATTTATTCTCATAATTGAGAAGAAAAAATACACAGATAAAACATTTAGCAAAATATAAACATCTAGTAAATATAACTGAAAGACTGCTGTTTAAGTATTCAAGGTAGATTCAAGCATTGTTAGCCTGATCCATTCATTATAAAAATTTCTCAGCAGTGAATGGTGATCATCACTTAGATACATTACTTCATTAGTGGAGATCTACCTTTTGTTTACATGGACTAAGAATATGACAACTGAGGCCAAGGACATTAAGGAAAGCAGGTAATCAAGTTGAAGTTGTTTATGACTACCATAAACTTGACTATAATACTTTAAGAGATGTAAATTTGGCTATGAGCAGTTTCTGGTCATGAGGCATAACCCTGATTTCAGGTGTACATGAACCATCTTGTTTTACTTAAAATGTATTTCCCTGTATCTTCTAATAGACTTAAATATGAAGAATTCTTAACATATCAAGACACAGTTAGTACTGACTTCTCTGAGAAGAATGGTGAGGAAAAAATCTTGAAAAGATGATTTTCTGTTTTGTCCTCTAATAACAATTTAGCAGTTTCATATATGCCATCTATTTTGCGTAAGTACTACTTATCATAATAATTATTAAAGCTAGATTAGATAGCATTGTCAACTCTACCTTTAGGAGAGCCCTAACTTCAACTATATATACAAGATTCCACACATCTGTAAAGATCTCAAAGCTAAATTAAGTGCAAATAGAGGACATAAATAATGGAAAAAAATAACAGAGAATATGACACATACAATGCGGCTGGACTAAAACAAAACTGATACTACCAATATATCATAATAACCTTCCAGCTTTCAATGTGAAAGAAATTACATTTTCCCAGCTTTAAATTGAGGTAAATAATGTTATGCTATACAGCCAGCTAGGTTTCTGGTTTTCCAGTTAAATATTTACCCAATCCCCTCTGCATTGCCCAAAATTTAATGTTGAAAGATGAGTAGCAGGTATAATGATGTTGAAAGTAAATAATGTTATTATTTTTTTTAATTTTTTTTTATTAGAGAGAGTGAGAGAGGAGAGAGAGAGAATTTTTAATATTTATTTTTTAGTTCTCGGCGGACACAACATCTTTGTTGGTATGTGGTGCTGAGGATCGAACCTGGGCCGCACGCATACCAGGCGAGCGCGCTACCGCTTGAGCCACATCCCCAGCCCATAAATAATGTTATTATCAGTGTTGCCCACAATATATAATAGAATCAAAATGAAAAACAAGATTTTTTTTTGTCTCTAATAGGAGAAAAAAGACTAAAAGAATTTAAGGTGGAATGTAAAAAGAAAATGAATGACATAAATTGGGTGTATGTATTGATGCACGGCAAGTCAACTGAGGTACTGAACAAAGGAACAGAGTGTGGTAAGCCCTTGTGCATGCATATGTATACACACTCATACCATAACTGGAATTGACTAAACAAAAGGAAGTGGGACTTAGAAGATAAAGGGTTTTAACTGACAGAACAAAGAAGCTTACATACTGTTACTAGGCAATGGTAAGTAAAAGTTTTAGAGGACGTTAAAAAATGAAAATAGAATAAGAAACTTAAGACTACATATAAGATTAATAATTGAAGACAAACATTCCAATTTACTCCCTGGAGTATAAAAAGGCAATTACATGTAAAACGGTACTATAAAGTCTGGCCTGTATATATACTATGATGGAGACTCCAATTAACATACTCCTTTGTTATATTCTTCCACCACCTTCATTCTCTAAAAGACAAGTGATCTATATTTTCACAGGATTTTTTCCCCACCATTTTGTATCATTTTGCAAGGTACTTAAAAAAAATTATGGCTCTGGGTTTGTGGTTCAGTGGTAGAGCACTCAAGTAGCATGCCTGAGGTACTGGGTTCAATCCTCAGTACATAAAAATAAGATAAAGATATTGTGTTCTCATACAACTAAAAAAATATATATTTTTTAAAAATTACTTAAATTAAAAAGCTTGGGCTGGGGATGTAGTTTAGTGGCAGAGCACTTGAGCATGGGCAGGTCCCTGAGTTCAATCTCCACCACAACAAAAATAAAAAAACATATTAAAGAAATTAAAAAGCTTTACTTACATCAAACTCCTCATTTCTTGAATGAGTCCATACTAGATTTGATAAAGACAACACACTTTTGTATTTTAAGTCAACAATGCACAAATCTGACTGGCATTCTCACTGGGCAAAGACTAGCATTTGTGCCTTTCATACACAAGATCAATGTCAGAACTGGCTTGAATCATTAGTTGGACATGAATACTTTCTTTCATTCCTACAATTTTGCCTAGTCTTATGACTAGAAAACACAAACTATTACATAATTGGGTCCAATATTTATAACTACTGAAAGAGCAGTTAATTGCTTGAAACCATACAGTAAAATTTGCATATTCTACATAATACAGAGTTCTACATATATTCAGATTCTCAATTATTCTATTATATTTACATAATACTGGAAAAAAACTAGTGGACTGGATGGTACTGTTGGAAGAATAGACACAAAACTCAGTGGAACAGAATATGGAGAATCCAGAAACAGACTGCCCAAATACGACTATATGTGAGATGCTTCAGATGCTTGTTTTCTTATAAACTACATATAGACACACACTATAAATTATACTCTATTATAAAATTGTTATCCTCAAGGTCTTTTTCCTCACAAAGAGCCTAGATTTTTCACCTTTTCATATTTTTCTCTATGCCCAGTTAGTAATTTGGAGTATATAAGGTAACAACGTCCCTGCCTTGTAATTTATAGCTATATTATGAATAGTCAGATTTAACAGCAGTCTATCTGCATAATATAACTTCAATACTTACCTGAAAGTTGTTCATTAGTCCATAGGAACAAGAATTGATTTCACAAGATGAAAAGTCAAAGTTTAATTTGCACGCTGCAGAAGTACAGTTTGTCAGTTCTGTTACAATGGTGTCATTAATGTTTCCAGTGGCATCCCGAACAACACAGGAACCTGAAGTACCAGCGACAAGAGAATAATATAGCTAAAATCTATATGATTTTGGAATTACATCTACTCATAAAGAAATCAAAGTACTGACAAGATATATAGTATACACTGAATTTACAGTTAAGATAGCTTTACTTTGAACAAATCTGGAAAGTATCATGGTCTTCAGTGTACAAGTAATGAAACTGAACCTTTTAAAAATAGTATTTACACACAAATACTTAAAAATTGTATAAATTGAGCTGTGAAAATGGTACATTAGTAAAATTATCTCATGGCCTATTTGGTTAAGAAGTCTTTAAGTAAATATAAACAGACCAAATAGAAAAAAATATTTTCCTAAATTCCAAATATTTCACTTTTGAAGCACGATCAAAGGTGAGACCAATAATATCAATCTTCTGTGAGAGAAAAAATTTTGAATATTATTGAATGAAAATTTTATTTAAACATTTGTCTCAAATATGACTGCCCTGAGCTGGGTGTAGTGGCACACATCTATAATCCCAGTGGCATAGAAAACTGAGGCAGGAAGATGCAAGTTCAAAGCCAGCCTCAGCCATGTAGTGAGACCCTAAGCAACTTAATGAGACCCTAACTCAAAATAAAATATAAAAAGGGCTGGGGATGTAGCTCAGTGGGTAAGTACTCCTTGGTTCAATCAATCCCTGGTACAAGAAAACAACAACAACAAATCAAATATGATTAACCTTACAATAAGAAAATATATGTCATCTGAAGTTTGCTTTAAAATAACACATGAGACAGAGTGATAAAACAAGATTAACCATGTCCTAATAAGTTTTTTTTTAAGGTTTTTTTTTTAAGAGAGAGAGAGAGAGAGAGAGAATTTTTTAATACTTATTTTTTAGTTTCTGGCAGACACAACATCTTTGTACGTATGTGGTGCTGAGGATCGAACCCGGGCCGCACACTTGCCAGGCGAGCGCGCTACCGCTTGAGCCACATCCCCAGCCCATTGTCCTAATAAGTTTTGCTAACTTTCTTGAAGTTGGTTGGTAGTTATACTGGACTTATTAGAGAATGCTGTCTACTTTTTTGTAAAATTGAGAACTTCCATAATAAAATATTTTAAAAGTTACCTTGATACACTTATTTGAATAACACATAATATATAGTTAATGGTAATCATCATTCCTTAGACTAGAATTTATTCTTTCTGAAGCATTTTATCAAGTATCATCATATATGAGATAAAAATTATAGGCATTTAGTAAGGACTAAACAGAAAACTAAGTTTGAGATGGAGAATATTTTAATGACTAAAAAGACTACATACTTCTTTATCCTTCAATTTCTTCTTCTACCTTTTGAACAAATTTGCAAACATGTTTCCCTAACGGTCCCTCTGAATCCACCAGGGGATGGGGAGAGTACAGAGCCCTGTGATATGTGTCAGCCTTATGGCAGCTATGTTTTCATGTGCTTCATGTTCCAAAGTTCTAAATCTGCAATTTGGGGGGTGAAAAATGTTCTTCTGCCTTAAACCAGTTATACAGTCAGTGATACAGAAGCTGTCTTTACTGGTCCAGCTACTGAACATCAGGGAAAAGGAACTACCCTTGTTCCAAGGGCTAATATACACAGTATGAAATAAATACAAGTGCTAGCAGTTTTAGGGGGTCAGATAAAAATAGAAAATATTCATCTGTAACAATAAAATTATTTAAAAAGTTGAAACATAATCAATTAAATCATTCTTTAAAGCTAAATTTTATTAAGCCAGCTTACATATAATGTATATAAGCATGCTGGGAACTTAAAGGAAAACACAAAGCTTGCTAAATCTCTCTCTCTGTGTGTGTGTGTGTGTACACACATGTCTTTCTATATATGAATATATGAATTCATTTTTTTTCAAAATTAATGAGATTTATTTATGGATTGTTAATGATAAATGAAATCTAAAAATCCTTAAATGCCAATATAGCTTATCATGATGACTATTAGCATTTCTAACTTTTGTTTAGAGAAATTTCAAAGTTATACTGATGTAAATAACAAAGTTTACAAATATACTTCTGTTATTATGTCACAATAAATCAGTAATATGTGGAAAAGCTGAAATATGATGAAACCTTGATATCATAAAATCAGTGAGTTTGGAGTTTGTGTTGTTTTTATTCCCCATGATGCTGGGGATCGAACCCAAGACCTTATCCAAGCGAAGCATGTACTATACCACTGAGCCACACCAAGCCTGAGTATAAATGTCACCACTAGTTTTCTTAGAACTGCTTTAAAATTATAATAGGCAACTCTGTCTTTTTATGGAAATACTTTTGAACTAGAAGTTAGAAAATATTATGAGAATATTTATACTGTGTATTATGAAACTTAAGACACATAAAAATTGGAAGGCTATTTACCTACAGACACTGCAATTCCTATGTAAACCACCGTAGTAATTAAAATGGCTAAGAGTGTTCCTTTGGGAATGGCTGACTGAGGATCCTGGAAGACAATAATAATTTTTTTAAAAAATCTATCTTTTAAAATACATATACCACTTTTTAAAACCGTATGATATTATATTTTAAAGTACTTACTGCAAGGTCACCTGAGATGTTTGCTCCAGCTAGAATACCAGTTGCAGCAGGAAAGAAGATGGCAAATACAGAAAAGAAAGTCTCTTCATCTCGGAAATCTGGTCCAAAGTTTTCATTAAATATTTCAGCTATAGAGAACATTTATTTGGAAAATAAATGATAGCAGATTAGTCCATAATAATTTTATGGTCAAAAGTAATTGGCGCATATAATCCCCAACTTTTCTTCAAGAAATTGGCAAATTTATATATATTTCCTAATTCAAGTATTAGTATTCCTTTGTTCTTGTATGAGGGCATGTATAGTCAAAATGGTAATCTGACTTGGGTCATGTCCTACTTTTTTGTATCCCTTACCAATAATTTAAGAGCCTCTGATTTGTTGTCACTAGTCAAAATATAAAAATCAAAGTGTGAACAACCCCTCCTCCTTAGAGGTCAAAGAAACACAAAAGTAGGTAAGGAAACAAACTTCATACTAATCTGGAATCAGTCCCACTGCCCCTTACTTCTAACTATGTTACCATCTGTGTGGGTTTGGGTCCATAGCTTTATCTGTTTTATAGTGGTGACCCATGCCAGATAATTTTAGCTAAGGTACCCTAAGTAAAGATTCTTTTCATTTCAATAATAATGATAGTTTCAGCTAGACCTACTTTTTCTATTCTGAAAGGCATGCACTAACACTAAAATAACCATTTACTTGTCATTTTCATTATTTGAGTATCATGTGCCAGATTCTCTAAAGTTATTTAACACCTCAAAATGTTTATAGATATAATATGAATAAGCTATAAGCAGTGTGTGCATTCATGTCTTGAAGAGGAGGGACTACAAAATAAGAAACAGGTCATTATAGATGGCAATAAATATACTGATGGAAACAGGGTGCTATGATAAAGAATAAAACAGAGAACCTAATTCAGTTTAAATACAGAAGTCTAAAGGACATAATCAAGAAGATAATATTTAAACTGACAGTTTACTGAAGAAGAATCAGCAATGTGATCAATCATCAGGGAGAAGAGTACAGCTGAAATGAGAATCAACAAGTATAAACCCTAAGGGTTTTAGATATTCTGAGGAACTACAGAATAAAATACAGGTAAAGTTCTTATAGTAAAGGGAAAGATGAAATGAGATTGAAAACATCAGTAGGGATCAGATTATGCAAAATTTTATAAAAAAGTTTAAATTTTACCTTAAATAAAATGGAAAATCAGGGTAAGGCTAGAAGCACCCAAATGGCATAAGGTAGATTATGTTGTATAGATGCTGTGTGTCAACAATGGACTGAAGGGGTCAACTTCTGAAGCACAGAGACCAATTAGGAGGTTGCTTCAGTGGTTCAATCTACAGGTAGAATACTGCCTAATTAGAGGAATCAGAAATTAAGGGAGGCAGGTAGAAAACAGGAAGCACTGAGTTGTTAAGTTTCTTTCACTTGCTGACATAGGAAAGTGTGAGAAGGAATAAGTAGAAAATATACTGAATAAATATTTCAACATTATATGTGTGAATTTTACAGGAGAGAATCAGGAATAAGTTATTTTGAGTCCTGAAAATGAGTATCAGCAAAGGAAAGAGAGTGGTTGGAAGGCAAGGACCATAGCCTGTGCAACTCTGCATTTAAAGGATAGGAAGAACTAGGTTCAGTGGTGCTTGCCTGTAATCCCAGTAACTAGGGAGGCTAAAACTGGAAGATTGCAAATTTGAGACCGGCCTCAGTAGGAGACCCCATCTCAAAATAAAATATAAAAAGGGCTGCTGGGGATGTGGCTCAACGGGTAAGAGTCCCTGGGTTCACTCCCTGGTACAAACAAACAAAAGGACAGGAAGAAGAGGGGTAGTAATAGGAAGAGTAATAGATACACTGCCCAATGAGTTTTTGACACAAAATAAAACAAGAAAATGCTTTAAAAAGTTTATAGGGACTAGGCTAAGCACAGTCTCAAAATACCGCTATACAAACCACTTATTTGTTACAAAAATTTAAAAAAAGATGACTTCACAACACAAAAACCTCCCAGATATCAACTTGACAGAGTAATCAAATACCACCAAAAATAGGAAAAACTGAAAACATACAACCCTCCTGATGTGATGCACTGAGGAGAATGCATCATTCATCAGATGATCTATGAATGAATAAATAACCTGAATCCACTGAAATAAGCCAGACAAACCCAAATGAAATACAAATGTCCTGCTCTTGAAAATGTCAACACTACAAAAGACAAAGGCAGGCTAAGGAGACTGAACAGTATGTGAAGAACCATTGGGGTGGGAGTGGTGGAGAAAGTAAAAGGCACGCCCTCTGAATGCAACACAGAAACACATGATCTTGGAGGAAAAATAAAATTCTATAAAGATCTTTAGAGACATTTGGGAAAAAATCTGTATTAGCCCATATATGTCAAATATTATTAGTATTGTGTCAAAGTTAAATTTCCTGAATCACTCTTTTCCTTACTAGATATAAGCAGAAGTATTTAGAGGTAAGAAGCTATAATTACTGCAACTTCTCTCAAAAGAAAGCAATCATAATAATAATTTGATATATAATATACATAGTAAATTTGTTACTACATATTATTTATATATATATATATATACATGAGATAAATGTGGGAAAAAAGATAAAAAATAAAAGGTTCATCATTGAATCCAGGTAAAAAGTATAAAGAATTTATTTTACTATTTTTGCAAGTTTTCTACAGGCTTGTCTTTTTTTTTTTTTAAATTACAAGGAATAAGTGGGAGGTGAAGATCTGAGAAATTTATATATGAATGGTAACTAGAAAAGTGAAGTCATAACAAGGGGAATGAAAGACAGCATTTTCAAAGATGAGAATTATTAGAGCAAGCTTATTATGCAGAGGCAGACATTTTGATTAAGGGAAAAAAGTATGTTATGAAGAGAAGTGCCTTGGATAAAGTAAAAGAAACAGGATCCAGAAAAAGAAGAGGCACTATTCCTTGGCAAAAGGAGGACAGAAAGGAAAAGGGCAAGAGGATAACATGAATATCTCCACATCACCATTAGGAGGTCATGTGAACTCAAGAGTTCATTAGCATAAATTGTACACTGCCAAAATTATCATAGTATAATGAAGAGGAAAGCCAAAGCAGTATCAACTACCAAAAGGAAAACTCACATGCCAAAGCATTTAGATTTATTAACCTTGAACTAATGTAAGCCCAGATGTGCTACTTAAACACAGTATACACTGTTAATATACCATATAACTATATAACACCTTTATAAGATGTCAGAGATCTGAAGAAAAGGAAAAAAAATATGGCTTAGAAGGTATCTACAGATATTTTAAAATCAACTGGAGTCAAAAAAAAAGAAGAAAATGTATTTATTGGGGATATTTTTAGAAGTAACCATACACTGTAATTTTTTCCCTCCAGTTTTCAGTGGACACAACATCTTTATTTTATTTTTATGTGGTGCTGAGGATCGAACCCAGCGCCCCGCACATGCCAGGCAAGCGCGCTACCGATTGAGCCACATCCCCAGCCCACACTGTAATTTTTAATACTTTTTTTAGAAGAAAAAATGGCAAACAATTGTTCCCCCAAAATACATAATATTAAAAAATGAAGTGGAAAAAAACTCATTACTAGGAAAAAATCTAATATATTCATAAGAGCACAAAATACAGAAAAGAAGGCAATCAAAGAAGGCTACTAACTTATTTCTGGCTTGCCTCTTCTCTAACTTAAGAAACAAATTTAAAGCCCAGTTGAATCAGTCATATACACTAGCAATCAGAATAGAAATCACAAATAGTCACAAATATTGGGTGTCCCTTGTTGAGGTAAAAGCCTTAAAACAATGTGTATCAGAAAACAGCTCAGCTAACTGAGTCAGTGTTAGGTACAAGCCACACCAGTGCTATGTTCCAGTCAGTAACAAGATTAAAGAGCTTACAATAGAACATAAACCAATGAGGTCTCTAGGCTCCAATTTAGTTCAGCTGATTTTATTTATTTATTTATTTATTTTTGGTTCCAGTAAGGCTTTCTGAAGGAAGAAGTGCATTGATCTACATTCTGTATCTTTTTACAGATCTGGGGAAAACAACTCAGGGAAACTAAACAAGATTTTTGTTTCTAGGGCTTAAAAATGTGGGTTTTAGCTAACTAGAGATAAGCCTCTCAGCAACTAATCTTTCCTACTATCTTAAAGACAGGTCCAGAGTTGCTTAATTAGGTCAATAGAGGATGGGGAGGACACTCATATAATGTTAGGAAATAATGAAGTCCTAGACAAGTAAATGTCACCAGCAGTTAAAAATAAAAGATTATAAAATATAAAAACTAAGGAAAATTCTCACATAATTAATATAAATTGCAGAGTAACTTAAGTGGCACTACACCAAGAAACTAAAATATTTTAGTTGCACTCACAATCTCACCTTTAAACTGCTTTGTTTATAAATAGAGTCATGTACCAAATAATGAGATTTTAGTCAACAATGGAACACATATAGGACAGCAGTTCCATAAGATTATATTGCCTATTAACACTGTATGCACCTTAATTTGTGTTATATTTTGATATCTGCACAAAAATGAATTCAATGAATTCAATTCACAACAACTAATTGAATACATGCAGTTCATCCACTGAATTGCAAGTCAATGAATGTTTCTCACAGTGTTTCCATAGTTAAGGGATACATAAGTATACATCTAAAATAATAAAAAATGGGGTGGTGATATGGCTCAGTGGTAGAACACCTGGGTTTGATCCCCAGCACCACAGAAAAGGTCATGTTAGTTACAAACTGCCCCAAGAAGTAGAGATCAAAAGCACCTTTTCTCAGTATCACTGATTTCTGTAAATTCTATCACCTTTTGTTGCTAAGGCTGAAAAATAAAAGATGAAAATGAAGGTGACTTTTATTGCAAGTGTACAGACTATATAAAGGTGACAAAAACTGAAATAAGAATGAGTGTGGATCACCAGAACTAACTCAAGTTACATTACAAAATATCTAAAATGTATTAAATTTAGTTAGCAGTATAATGCTGTAATATACATTCTTTAAAAGGTATTTATTCGGGCTGGGAATGTAACTCAGTGGTATAGTACTTGTCTCGAATGCATGAGGCCCGGGGTTCGATCCTCAGTACTACATAAAAAATATAAATAAATTTTAAAAAGATATTTAATCTTCTTTACTTACATTTATAACCAAAGAAACCTTTGGGCTTCTTGCTCTCCAATGAGATAAATGTTCCTATGACGAAGTCAGCAATGGCAAGAAGTAGAATCACCAAAAGAACAATCTGAGCCTGTAGTTTTAAACATTAAAAATAAAATCAAGTGTACTGTGTCAATACTTTTATTTTATTTAATTTCACTAGAATGTAACTTTTGTTCTATTTTGTCTGCTTCCCCAAAGAGTGCCAAGCACAAAGCAGGTACTAGATAAGCTTTGGTTAAACAAAGAACTATTTTAGAATATTCAATATAATGGGGGTTAGTGGGTAGCAAAATTAGGATCATACCATATATATCAAACCCTAAAGCACTAAAAATTATATATACTGTAAGCTTTTCACCCTATGTAATTCGGTTTCCTTCAGCTTTCAGTGACATTCTTAACATTAAGAACAAATTTAACACATATGCAAGTTTTATACCAGATCCAAACATATGTTAAATATGTGACTTCTATATGAAAAGAAGAAAAAGTAGACAAAGTAGAGAATATGGAGGAGGAGAACTCAAGAGGCAATGAGATGGGAAGGAAAGAATTTTTCTCAAATTTTAACTCCCAATAAAAGGGAACAAATACTTATGAAAAAGTATGTTATCAGCTGGGCATGGTGGTGCACACCTATAATCCCAGGGGCTCGGGGAGCTGAGGCAGGAGGAACTCAAGTTTACAGCTAGCCTCTGCACCTTAGCAAGGTCCTAAGCAACTTATCGAGACTCTATCTCAAAAAAAATATAAAAAGGGTTAGGATGGCTGAGTGATGTGATGTACACCTATAATCCCAGTGGCTCAAGGAGGCTGAGGTAGGAGGATGGTGAGTTCTAAACCAGTTCTAAACCAGCCTCAGCATTGGAGAGGGGCTTAGCAACTCAGTGAGACCCTGTCTTTAAATAAAATATAAAATAGGGGTAGGAATGTGGCTCAGTGGTGAGTGCCCCAGAGCTCAATCCCCAGTACCAAAAAAAAAAAAGGGCGTGGGGGCTAGGGATGTGGCTCAGTGATGAAGTGCGAATAGGTTCAATTCCCTGTACTAAAATCAGTGAGAAAAAAAAATACTTATAATGCTAATCACATCCCTTCAACAAAGTAAATGTGTTAAAAGAACAAATAAATGAGGGTTTGGGAGTATAGCTCAGTGATAGAGCATGTGGTTAGCCTGAACAAGGCCCTAGATTTGATTTCTAGCACTAAGATATGTAAATAATTAAATAGACAAGATTTAATTTTATTCTAATATGACTTTAAAAGCTTAGAAAAAGATTCTTCTAATTTTCAGTTCAGTAAATATTATCACTTATAGAACAAATATGTGAGTTTTACAGAACCTACAAAAGTAAACATGAAAAAACTTGGACCATCTGAGTTTCTGAACAGTATTTTTGTAGATATTCACTATTCAGGAAACTAGAATGGTGCTGTAACCTACTGTAATGCTCAAAGATCCAATAATATTTCTGCATGCTTTGCTGATCAGTGTGTGAATTCAGCAATTTTTTCAAGAAACACTAGCACTAATTGATTTCTGAAGATTTCAATATCAAGGGGTAAGAATAGCTTCTCTAACTTCAGGTGGACACTTTCAGTCATTGCCCCGGGTTTATTGTTAAACTGAATCTCTTTGAATAAATTATGAAACCATTTATTAAACTATGACTACCTAATATTGACCTGAATATTTCCATGTAAATACTGAAATATAGGGGAGGAAGTGAGAAGTTCAAAACTTAGGACAAAATGAAATAAAATATAAAAAGGGCTAAGGATGTAGCTCAGTGGTTGAGTGCATCACGCTTTGCATATATGAAGCACTGAATTCAATTTCCACCACCACAAACAAAAACAAACTCGTTGAAAGTATTGTGTTTAACTGGATCCTAGACTGGTTTTCTTCAAATATGCCCCACCTACATAAAGGAAATTAACAAACAAAAACAAAAACAAAAAAAGACAACCTCTAAAAGTTTGCATATTAAACATATATAGATACTCCTAACATGACTTACTTTTGCTTCCCACTCCATTCCAGCTACTGAGATTCCTAAAAGAATCACTACTGTAATGGCTCCAATAATTCGGATATCATTGATTTCATCTATCATAAGTATAGAATGTTCCTAGAAAAGAGAATTATAAATATAATGACCAACAATGCCTTACATGTAGATGTTGAATAAATGCTTATTAAATGAACTGATGGGAAATCTAAGGAAAGGAATGAATTATTATTGAGATGTCATTCAAGCATCTGATGATCTAACATCAAATGTATGATTAAATTAATACTTGAATATCTGATAGATTCAATAATCAAAAAAACAAAAAAATGACTTTAGTCTGCTAATTAGATTTTTTTAAATGACAGAGCAGAGATATATTTCATATTAACCTGGCTAGAGAACTCATGTTTTTGATGGTCTTTTATGATGTGTGAGGAAGACATGAACAATCTCCTTCATGCAGTTGTCAAAACCACATATTATTTCCATTCTACAAACAAAAATTTCTTGAATTTAAGATTCATATTATAAAACTTCCCCTGTAGATCAAAACTAAAAGCTCTGATACCTCAATCAACCTAAGTAAGTAGCTATGTATAAATTACCACTGCTCAAATAAATTTATAAAAGGCTCAAAAACCTAAAATATCTATTTATTTTGATAACTTAGAATGACTGCATTATGATTGAAAAATTATAAAAGATTACAATTTTCCTATGCAGTTGCTTCTTTTTAAAAAAAGCCTTCTTATTAAAGCTTTTTAAAACACTCCTTCATAAAAGCAACAAGGAAAAAATCTTCTTTGAATTCCAATTAGATGAGCTTAATAAAAAAATTAAGGAGAAAAAAATCCAAAGACATTTTGCCAACCAAAGGCATAGTAAGTGTCAAAAAAACAGGAACAAATTCAACTTTTTTAAAGGATCCCATTTGATTTAATAAAATTATGTCTAAACTTTTAACTATATATTATTTTTAAATTTTAGTTTTATATCATTTGACATTTCCTATAGCATTTGGATAATCACACCTGATGATTACCTATAGAAGAAAAAAAAATGATGAGAGTGCAAATATATATCTATTGGATCTGTTTTTAAATTGAGATTCACTGGATCATAAGTACAACAGAACACCAAAGTTGTAGCTCAATATATTTTTGGGGCTGGGGATGTGGCTCAAGCGGTAGTGCGCTTGCCTGGCATGCGTGCGGCCCAGGTTCAATCCTCAGCACCACATACAAAAAAAGATGTTGTGTCTGCTGAAAACTAAAAAATAAATATTAAAATTCTCCCTCTCTCTCTCATATATATTTTTTTATATTAAATCAAGTATTTTAAGTATTTGTTTCAATTTTGGCTGGATCTAACTTTCCACAAAACAAAAACATTTTAAAGCTCTAAATATTCTGATGAGTTCACAAGCTTAATCTTAAACTGAGCAGAAAATAAGAACAAATACTAAAATAAAAATTAAAACTAAAACTAAACTAAAAGAATATGGACTTCAGTGACTATATCACTTGCTTACTTTATACATCTTCCTTTTCTTCATTTTGTTGGCCTACATAGGCAGAGGTCAAAGCAACATAGCGTCAGTCTTTTTCAGAGTTTACGCTTCCTAATTTGCCATAATCTACTATAGAAGAATGCCTACAACCTAACATGAACAACTTTCAGTTAATATGAAGGAATCTTACTCATTCTCACTTCTTTAATGGCACATATCTCCATAACTTTTCAAACAAATTCTCTTCTGAATCCAAGAGCAGTACTATTAAATGTCTTCTGAATAGTTCTTTCTGAATAGTTAGATACCAGCTCTATTTGGTTCTTCAAATTAGCACATCCAGAATTAGGCTGTTCTATATTCTCTGTCTCACAGTGAATGGCATTACCTTCCAACTAAATCGAATAGTCATAAATCTGTGTATAAACTTGAAATTCTCGTTTATCTTTCTTTAATTTCCCACATTACATTAATCATGAAGTCCTCATTCAACTTTATTAAAATATCTGAAGATCATCTCCATCTCTCCAACTCCACTGGTCATTATTGTAATAAAAGCCACCATCTCCACTTCCAGGATAGTTACAATAAACTTTGAAATGGTCTCCATCCCAACTTGTGATCCTTCAAATCCATTTTCCAGACTATGGTCAGATATTTCTCTAGGCCCCAATTCCAATATTAAAGCCCACTTTACTACAAACAAGACCTTTCTTGAATTGATGCTTTAAGACTCAAGTCTTGCCACTCTGTTTCAATCACAGTGAAATATTTATAGTTTGTTTAACATAACATACTCTACACTTTCCAGGCCTTTGTTTCCTTTTCTTTCCTGTTCCCTCATGCCTGACTATACCTTTCCTATTTGCCTGTAAATGCTAACTCCCTTACTTGAAGAACCTTCCTCAACATTCCTTCTACGCCGATTCCCAAAGAGGATCATGTAAACACCACCTCTCTGCCCCTAATTTGGGCTGCTAATGCCACCTACAGTATTCCACAGCTGGCATTCTAACATAATTTTCTTCTTTGTTTATCTCTTGTACTAAATTTCTTGAAGGGCAAGTTTCTAAGTTATCACATCACAACTTTACTAACTCCTAACATGATGAGGGCACAGAGCACTCAATAAACGTGGCAAATGGATGACCAAAAGAAAGGTAAATTACCTTGAGCAACTCCACCACAGTTTCTGCAAATCCAACCACATACATAGCAACTGCAACAGCATTGGCAAAAGCGAATATCAGGCCAATTGCACCACCGAACTCTGGCCCTAGACTTCTTGATATTAAATAATACGCTCCTCCTAAAGAAAAGAAAGAAAAAAAGAAAGTTAGGATTTAATACCGATCAAGCCTTTTAAATACATAAAGAATTCACAAAGCAGATGCCTTCAGTAAGCACAGCAATTAAATTAACAAAAGGTGAAAATATGTTCAGGAACATTAAAAAAAAAAGTCTTCACAGTCCAATGCACTCCATTAAAAATTCCCCCAAATTAGGAGAATTCTCCCACAAATATAAGCTCATCCTATTTTAAGTCCCCACTTTCTCTTTTATGCTTAGATTAAAATGGGCAGCCTCCTCCCCATATTCATAAATATCATGATCATTTCCAAATGATTTTCCAAGTAATATGTTAACTTTAAAATTCACAGTTGACCTGATTTCAATTGCTTAACTATTATGACAATTTGCAGGTGGTATGAATACCAAGGCAAAAATAAAACAATTCTCATGACAAACTGCAAAGAAAAGCATATAATGGCATCCCAAAGAAGTAATTTGTACTCTAGTAAATCCTGCCTAAAAGGCAGAATAAACAAGATACTACATGACATTATCACAAAGCAAGTATTTTTCTAACTTAAAAAATAAGTATGAAGATGTGAAAAAAAAATAAGCAATACTACTGGGCGCAGTGGCACACAACTGTGATCCCAGTGGCCTGGGAAACTAAGGCAGCAGGGTCACGAGTTTAAAGCCAGCCTAAGCAACAGCGAGGTGCTAAGCAACTCAGTGAGACCCTATCTCTAAATAAAATACAAAATAGGGCCAGGGATGTGGCTCAGTGGTTGAGTCCCCCCACCTAGAGTTCAATCCCCAGTACTAAATAAATAAATAAATTTAAAGCAGTATTATTTGATTTGAAGTCAATCTAACGTATTCCTGAAATCTAATACTTATAAAATTCTAGTTTAAATCTGGTTTCTACGTCATAACCAAATTATTAGTGTTAATAATATTGAAGCTACATAATATATATTTCTGTATACTAAAAAAATGCTTAATTTTAAGGCCATTTAGTGAAATGCTATTAAAACAGATGAATATTTGTTTCTATTATTCACCCAGTATAAAGATGATAAATAGAAACAACACAAAATTCTACCATTTGATAAAACACTAAACATGCAAATTTCATTTTGGAAATACCTGTAACACCAATTATTTATCACAGAAATCCTAAAGAAAAAAATGCAATCTTACAATTTAACATAAGTCTCATAATTTGGGATGAAAACGACTTAAAAAATTTCTCAGAAATATTTCTGAACACTAAAAAGTCCAATAAATTTTTATGTAATAATAATTTTGTAAGTCAAATAAAGATCTTAATAAAATCTCTTAAGACATTAAATCACATGAAAGTTAAATTACAAGAAAAATCCCTGGCATATACTATGTCATAGCCTATAAACATGTATGCTTTCCAAATTAATATTTTTTCACTTACTCTTAATACCAACAATGAATTGACAACTATTATTTATCCTGATTTTATAAACAAGAAAATTAAGTCACAAAAAAAGGCTAATTGCAATCACAACCATTTATATGTTTTCATAGTTGAAAAATTAAACTTTAGAATAAGAACTATCACCAATAAGAATCCATTTGTTATGTGCTCTAGCATATTGATTATATAAAATGTCAATTTTGACATTCCAAATGATTTAAAAAATCTTCCACAAACCTAAACTTAAAACCCAGTTTGTTACTTTAGAGAGAGACAGAGAGAGAGAGAAAGAGAGAGAGAGAGAGAGAGAGAGAAATATATTTATATTCTGTTGTCAGGAAATTAATAAGTGACAGTGGATAATAAAGAAAATAAAAGCATCTATTTATCTTTAATTTTTACTCCTGATGATAAGCAAAAGTTCTATGCCCTATTCCCCCCCCCCCCATTTCCATTCTTGCTTCCTAGAGGTAATGTGACTTAAAACCTGCTTCCTGGGGCTGGGAATGTGGCTCAAGTGGTAGCGCGCTCGCCTGGCATGTGTTCGTCCCGGGTTCAATCCTCAGCACCACATACAAACAAAGATATTGTGTCCGCCGAAAACTAAAAAATAAATATTAAAAAATTTTCTCTCTCTCTCTCATCTCTCTCTCTTTAAAAAAAAAATCAGTCCTAATATGGGCTGAGAAAAAAACTAAAAAAAAAAAAAAAAAAAACTGCTTCCTTCCTTCTTCTACTAGAATTACCCATTCTAGCAACATACTATTTTAATCTTCATTTTATCTATGAGAAATAAGGCTTAGAAAATTAAATAATTTGGTCAAGGTTGTGCAAATCTAGAAATGTACTTAAACTCGGATCTTTCTATCTTTGGATGTTTACCCAATATAAAATTTATAATAAAATCTTGATACTCAGTCTGTAATGGAAAATGCTTAAGAGTACAGTAAAAAACAAAAACAAAAACAAAAAAAACTATGCTCAATTAAAAGGCATCAAAACAAAAATTAACTACTTTCTTTCAAAAAATAATCTATTGTTCAAGCAAACACAGAAGTCAATATCAGGGAAAAATCCTCATGGAGGCTCATAATCCAGCCATAAACTACCCCAATTACTGAGTACAGGGAATGTATTCTTTTGCCAGGCACTATGGCGCACGTCTGCAATCTATGCAACACAGGAGACTGAAGCACGAGAATCTTGAGTTCAAGACCAGCTTCAGCAATTTAGCAAGGCCCTACGCATCTTAGTGAGCCCCTGTCTCTTAGTGAAATATAAAAAGGAACTAGTGATGTGATTCAATGGTTAAGTACAGAAAGAAAGGAAAGGAAGAAAAAAAAAAAAGTAAGATGCCAGAAATGACATGTAGTGATAAAACCACACTGGGTTCTCTTATTATTCCATGTGGATTCGCAGATTTGTAGTTCTTTCTAAATCTCAAATCAACCATAAATACAATTACATTTTGAAACCAAGTTAAAATATCATTAATTATTTAAGAAAATGCCCATGTCAAAAATTATTCACTTGCCAGGCATGGTGGTGCATGCCTCTAATCCCAGAGGCTCAGGCAGCTGAGGCAGGAGGATCATGAGTTCAAAGCCAGCCTCAGCAACTTAGTGAGGCCCTGAGTAACTCTGTGAGACCCTGTCTCTAAATGAAACACCAAAACACCAAAAAGTACAGTGGATGTGGCTCAGTGAATAAGTGCCCCTGGGTTTAAAATCTGCTACCAAAAAAAAAAAAGAAAAAGAAAAAAAATAGAAAAAGCAATCATGAAATTCATTTGGAAAAATAAGAGAAGGAGAATTGCCAAAGCAATCTTTAATAAGAGTGAAGCAGGAGGCATCACAATGCCAGATCTTAACTATACTACAGAGCTATAGTAACAAAAACAGCATGGTATTGGCCCCAAAATGACATGTAGACCAATGGTTCAGAACAGAGAACACAGAGACAAATCCACATAAATAGTTATCTCATACTAGATAAAGATGCCAAAAACATACATTGGAAAAAAGATAGCCTCTTCAACAATGGTGCTGGGAAAATTGGAAATCCATATGCAACAAAATGAAGCTAAACCCCTATCTTTCACTTTGCCCAAAACTCAAAGTGGATCCAGGACCTATGAATTAGACCAGAAACACTGCACCTAATAGAAGAAAAAGCAGGCCAAAATCTTCATCATGTTGGCTTAGGACCTAACTTCTTTTAAAAGAGTCTTAAAGCACAGAAATAAAATCAAGAAGCAATAAATGGGATGAATCCAAACTAAAAAGCTTCTTCTCAGCTAAAGAAAAAAACCAATAACCTGAAGAGAGAGCCAAAAGAATGGGAGAAAATTTTTGCCACACGCACATCAGATAGAGCACTA